ATATTAAATTATGAACTAAAACAAAATAAATAAAAAATATTATGTGTTATTTATTTTTTAATTATATGATTTATTTAATTTTAATTTATTGTATTATTTATTTATTTACTATATTTAGTATTTATTTTATTATTTATTATTTTTATAAATAAATAATATTGTATTATTTAATATCTTTATTTATATAATATATATTTAATATATTTATTCATTTAGTAAATAATTATTTAATATATAAAAATAATTAAATTTAAATCAAGTGAATTAATATAAAAATAACATTAATGATAATAAAATTTTTATTAAACAAGAATGTAATATTATTTATTTATTTAGTTTACTTATTTTTATTTCATAATTAGTATATTTTAATAAATAAATTATTTATAAGTACTATAATTAAAAGTTGTATAAATTTTATATAATATGGATAAAATGATGTTGGTATATATATAAATGAAGTCCAATACTTAACATAAGTTGGGTTGGATCAAGTGGCTCATAAGTTTATCTTATATACTAGAGGTACAAGGTTCAAATCCCCTTCTTGCATTATTTTTGCAATTTTGACACATGTGCACGATTAGCCACCTGGGCGCTGACTCGGATGTCCGTTTGGTGTGTCAAAAGCCACGTAGGATTTCTGTTAACGGCAGATAACGGCAGTTAAAAGCATGTATCGGATTGCCAAAAATGTAAAAGTCATGTATTTATTTGCCAAGGTCTAAAGGTGGTGATTAAATGGCCAAACACGTAAAGGTCGTGTATTTTTCCGCCATTAAGCCATAAAAATATATTCACGTATCCTCTATTGGTACAACTAAATCACTTATATATTCATGTTAAGAAATATTTTTTGTTTCATGAAGACCAATATATACATATATTTCTTAATAAATTTGTACATCATTTATATTATTTGGCTAATAAAGTCTTTATTAACATATATATATTCAACGCAGGCTTATTTATACATAATGGATTCAACTGACTATGAGTTGGATTCTAATAGCTCATCATCAAGCGACGATGCGTTTTCGCTAACCAAACAACTAATAGACAAGCCTTTAGGAGATGATACATTTTTTGAGGAATTGAACTGCGAGGTTGTACAACAAACTTGTTCCTTTCACATTCCTGTGATAATTTCTTTATTCTTATTAACAAGCACCTCACGCCCTCATGGTGTGATAATTTCATCTCCAAGTTTGCTTGATTGACGGTGATGTGTTTCTCTAAAGTGCATTGCAACTTGTTTAAAGCATCCACAACACTCTTTTCCTCATTTGGCTTTCTTTTTTTTTTTCTTTGCATTTTTTCCTTCCTTCTGGCCGCACAATACCATCAATATTGGTACATACAGGTACATCACCATCACCATCCCCATTGGTTTCCATAACTTCACCTGTCATTGTACTCATCTTGTGCTCAACCCCTTGTTTCGTTGAGGTTGCAGACTTTGTAAGTTATTTAGAGCACCACTTGGGATTTTTAATCAAAATTTTCCAACAATCAATAAATTTGAAAGGAGTGTCGTGCAAATCCTCATACGACCTCATAGAAGTTATTATTTGCATAAAACAAATAAACAACAAATAAAAAACACTGTATATTTAGTTTCTTCAACATTCATTCAAGTTTAAGATAACAACTTGTAACTAAAGAGAAATAAAACAAAGCCCTAAACCTATAGCACCCTTCATTTTTATTAATTATAGAAGATTGAAATTTAGGAAAAGCATAATACTCTTACCAAATCTTCCGAGTTTGTACCGCTTTGTGGATGTCTTTCTAAACGCTCATACAAAGAATGAAATATGCTTACTGCAACTTGTATCTTGGACCATTTGAGTTGTAGGCTATTGTTATTCCTAGAAAAATTGCATTCAGCACCCATGCTCTCTCTCTACACCTCCAAAATACGATCCCACATAGCTGCTCCCTTTTGATTGGTACCAATATCAGCATCCTCAGAAATATATAACCATGCTTTTGTTAAAGCAATTTCTTCCTCGCTGGTCCAATCCTTTTTTGCAAGTGAAGCTTGGGAGCTGTTAGAATTTTTCGTATTTTTAGCCTTTTTTTGCCACTCCCTCGCCGCAACTTCACCTTCAGAATTATCAATTGGAGAGTTTAAAATATTTTCAAAGGAGAATCCAAGTGTATGTTGTGGGTTAACAGAAATATATGTTCCTGTTGTTGGATCAAAGTGATAAAGAGGTTGCATTTGAATGTTTAGTGGGTTGAATTGGTTTGCAATTTCTGTTGGCCTGGAAAAATTTAGAGTTGGTCGGGAACTTGAATAATTTTCAAAGTACTGAGATTCCATTTCTGATACAAGTTTGCAAAAAAAAAACACAAGATATACAGTGAGAAGGTACAGAGTTGANTTTTTTTTTTTTTTTTTTTTTCGGAACGATAGAAGATTTATAATAACTCAAAGGGAAACATAGTTCAATACAATCGAGGCCAACAGCCGAATAGACAAAAACAAAGCCGGAAAAGAAAACTGGGAGGACACGCATAAAGCGGCCTAGAATACAACAAATAACTAAAACCCGAAGAGGGACAGCATAACCACTGCACTACATGCCTAGCCTGCCAACCAACTTCACTGAACTACCAACAGCAAACCAAAGAAACCAAAAAACAGAGCAAAGGAAAGAAAAAAACACTCAAAAGCAAGCTAAAATCACACAGCCTTGAACTCCTGCCAATCTTTTAATGCTCTTTTGATCATCACATTGACAGGTAAGTTGATTTTCTCAAACATCCACAGATTCCTGCTTTTCCACAACCACCACAGAAGGTAAGTGGTGAGTTGTATTCTGTCCTCCACAACCTGTGTCTTCTTGATAGTGCAAAGATGCCACCACCAACTTTTAAAAGAGCAGGCTATAGTTTGAACTCCATTCCATTGAAGAGGTCCCATCCTCCAAAGATTCTGAGCCCTAGTACAGTTAAAGAGCAGATGTTCAATAGTTTCTGGGCCTTCACCACATCCAGAGCAGAGCACATCCACATCAAGTCCCTTTCTGATCAGATTGGTGTTAACAGGCAAAGTGTTAGTCAAGCACTTCCAGATAAAGTGTTTGACAGTGCCTTTGACCTTCAGTTCCCAGCTCTTAAGCCGAGCTTTCCTTACCACTGCAGGGTTTGCACTTGTTCCAGGAATATCAAGAGACAGTGCCTTCTGGTAAATCAAATGCTCATAAGTAGCAGAAACTGAGAAGATCCCTTGCTTGCTAAAGCTCCAGTAAGTTCTATCATTCCTGGCAGGGTTAATGGTCTTGATGCTTAGAATAGCTTGACTATCTTCAGCATTAAAAAGCTGTTGGACTAGCCAAGTGTTCCATCCTAACCCATCTTCCTACAGCAACTCCTTCACCCAAATGATATGGCCCTGTGCAATGTCTAACAGCTTAGGCTTTGAGTTGGGGAGAGAAGGAACCCAGTTCAGGTAAGAAATTCTAGTTAGGGCACCATTCCTAATTTCAGTCGTCAGACCCTGCTTAAGAACAGGCAAACAGTCCAGCCATGTATGCCAAAGCCAAGAGCCTTGCTGGGTTTTAGAAGCATCAAAGATTGAGCAAGAAGGAAAATACCTGTCCTTGAGAACTCTACATACCCGAAGCTCAGGTTGAGTGACAAGCCTCCACAACTGCTTGCATATGAGAGCTTGGTTGAATAAGCTTATGTCTTTGAACCCAATACCTCCTTCCTCCTTAGATAGAGTCATGAAGTGCCAAGCTTTCCAATGAATTCCTCTATCTTTAGTGTCACCCTTGCACCACCAGAACTGAGCACTGAGACTAGCAATTGCTTTGCAAATAGACTGAGGGAGTTTAAAACAAGACATGGGGAACACTGGTAAAGCATCAATCACAGCTTTGAGCAGAACTTCCTTACCAGCTATTGATAGCAATTTGTTTTTCCAGCTCCAAAGTTTAGCTTTAACAGAATCCACAATATAAGAGAAAACCTTAGCTTTTGATCTGCCAATTCCCAGAGGCAGCCCTAAGTATCTAGTAGAAGAGTGGAGCTGGATACCATTCAGAGCTGCAGAGATCTGACTGAAGTTGAGAGTTGGTGTTCTTGCTGAAGTAAGCTGTTGACTTCGGAAGATTAACTTTCTGCCCAGTAAACAGCCTATATCTCTCCAATAGAGTCATCAGTTCATGAGCTTGGGATATATCTGCTTTGCAGAAAAGAAGAGCATCGTCTGCAAATAGAAGATGAGAAAGAGCTGGACCATTTCTAGACAGTCTTATCCCACTCAATCTACCTCTTTGCAAAGAATCAGAGATTAGAGCAGATAACATCTCAGTGACAATATTGAACAAATAGGGAGACAAAGGGTCCCCCTGTCTGATTCCTCTCGAAGGATAGATAATACCACTAACAGCCCCATTAATACAAACAGAGAAAGATGAAGTAGAGACACACACCAAGAGTAATTTCACAAAAGTGGAACAGAATCCCATCTGAATCATGATTTTCTCAATACAGGCCCATTCCACCCTATCAAATGCTTTCATTAGATCCAATTTCAAAGCCATAAAGTGGTTCTTCCCAGTCCTATGCGTACTCAGAAAATGGAACACTTCTTGAGCCAAAATAACATTGTCTAGCAACAGTCTATGTTTGATGAAAGCAGATTGACTATCACTAATGCAAGAACTGAGACAACTTTTTAATCTTATAGCAAGCAACTTTGAAAGCACTTTGTAGACAACAGAACACAAGGAAATAGGTCTGTACTGATTAAGAGTTAATGGATTCTGACACTTAGGGACAAGAGTGATCAAAGTGTGATTCCAGTATCTAAGAAGCATACCAGAGTCAAAGAAGCTTTGAATGGCTGCAACAAAATCTGACTGAATAGTGTGCCAAAAGTGTTGGTAGAAGAAAGCTGTCATCCCATCCTCTCCAGGGGACTTGTCAGGATGAAGACTGAAAAGGGCCAATCTAATCTCTTCAGTGTCAAAAGGATGAAGGAGAAGTTGATTCATATCTGAAGTGATAGTCTGAGGGATTAATGGCAGTAAGCTCTCCCCTCCCCATGAGCCTTCTGAGGTAAACAAAGAAGAATAGAAATTTGTAATGTGGTCATTAATTTCTGACTGAGAGTTGCAGATTCTGTTGCCTTCAGTAACCAGCCTGGAGATGGCATTAAGTCTTCTTCTCTGGGCACAATAAACATGGTAGAACTTAGTATTTGAGTCACCCTCTTTGAGCCATTGAGTTCTTGATTTCTGAGCCCAGAACCTCTCCTCAAAAGCAAGAGCTTCATCTAGATCTTCTTTGACAGAGTCCCAAGCTTCCCAATTATCACCCCTCCCTTCAGCCCTGAGCTGCTCCAGCTGGTTTGAAAGTACCTCAATCTTCTTAAGATTCTCAGATTTGAATGAGGAACTTCAGATGAGCAATGCCTTTCTGGTCTGCTTTACTTTCTCTTTCAGAATAAAGAAAGGGGTCCCTGCTTGAGGCAAGTCCCAAGCTTGTTGCACCACCTGACCTATCCCATCTTTTAAAGCCCATCTCCTTTCAAACAAAAATCTTCTCTTCTGTTTTGGGGGGGAATTTCCATATGTAAGTGAAAGCAAGGAATGGTCTGAAGAACTTCTAACCACATTGTGAATTTTGGCATTAGGATGAAGACCCAACCAATCCAAAGATGCAAAGCCCCTGTCAAGTTTCTCCTCTACTGATTCAGCACCAGCTCTGTTGTTCCATCAAGTGAACTGATGCCCATCCATAACAATCTCCTCCATCTCCATAATAGATATAAAACTGTTAAACCCATCAAAGTAGCTGTCTTGTCTGTGTCTACCCCCTTTCTTATCATCCATGGAACAAATAGCATTCCGATCACCTAAAATAAACCAAATATCCCCCCATAACTGCTTGTCAGCTTCAAGAGCCAGCCATTGTGCTTCTCTGGCTGCTCTGTCAACACTCAGGTACACAAAAACACCCTATCCTTGGTCTACATCATCAATCTTGAAATGGACTGCAATATAAGTCCTTAGTGATCATAGAGACTACCTCCACACTCTGCTTCCATAATAGAAGTAATCCTCCACTTTGACCTCTAGGATCAACTATGGCATGTCTGTCCTCAAATCCCAACTTTTTACTAATAGACTTCACATAAGCAGAAGAATGTCTAGTTTCAGAAAGAAAAAAGAACTGTGGGTGGTGAGTCCTAAAAGACTCTTTGATTTGGGAAATTGTAGAGGGCCCACCCAGCCCTCTACAATTTCACACCGCAGCTAACATTTAGGATTTGGGTGCCACTCAAGGCTGGCATCCCCCACCTGATCAAAAGTCATTTTCATCTTCTTGTCTGAGATTAAAGAAGTCACTTGCTCATCTGCATGGTGAGTGAGTATAGGAAGCTCCTCTCTGTCTCTTTTAGCCCCTGATACAGCTTTCTCCTCTGAGTTTGTGTCCACCTGCCTTTGCAGCCTGCCTACTCTGCTAGCTGACCTTTTCCAAGTGGAAACTTTGGATACTACCATTTCCTTAGCCTTCTCCTTCTTTGAAATATGAGTGGTATGCCCTGGTAGCTCTGGCCTGGTCAGTTCAATTTCCATAAGCCTGTAGTCCTCTTGATTCATGTGATCTCTTGGTATAATGTCCATGGCAGGAACTTTCTGGGAAGAGACTTGTTCTGAGAGTGTCAACTGATTATTCTGTTGAGTAGCCTGCGTTTCTGAGTTAGAGGCTACTGTGTCTTGAAGCTGTTCATTTGCCATTTCCCTTGGCCCCTGAGATGCCTGGGCTCTCCCACCCTGCTGATCACTAGAGCTAGATGGATGAGAAGTATTAGCTCCAGTAGGGACTTGTCCTGAGGGAGGAGACTGCCTGGAGTTGGAGTGACTATAATTGTGCCAGAATTGACTCTCTTCCACTTTTAACCAATCGCCATACTGCCCATCTTTCAATTTGTGGTGTTTTATGTCTTCTAGCCGTTTAGAACAGCCTTTATCCAGGTGCCCAATGAGCCCACAGTAGTAGCAAAGATTCACCAGCCTCTCATACTTAAATCCCACAGTAACAATGTCTTCTCCTAGTCTAATATTGGTGCATCTAGGCAGAGGCTCAGTAATGTTAACAGACACTAGAAGCTTTAGGATCTTACCTCCATGAGCACCAGCATTAACTACCACCACATTCTTAACTTCCGAGAAGACGTTACTCAGCTTGAGACCCACCTCAACACTGATCCAATCAAGTGGCAAGTTAAAAACTTGAGCCCATAAGTTGAGCTCTTGAAAGCCATGGTGCTTACTGGTAAGCCCTTTCTCCCACTCTTTCAGTATTAGGTACTGGTTGTCAAAAATCCAGTTCGTGCCATTTGCGACCCTTTTCATATCTTCGCGGTTGTGGAAGAGGAATTGAAAGAAATTGTGACCTAATTCCTTGACTTCCATTGGGTGGTGAAGCCTCCAAATGTTATTTATCGTTCTCTTGATGCCGATCCAACTGGCTGTTCGGTCCCCCACGACTTTCCCGAATAAGCTACGACTACATTCTTCCGCACTAAGTTTGATATCATCTTGCTTGATGTCCGTAACCAGTGCTTCCTTTGACGATAGGGAGAACCCTTGGAGCCGATTAGCCAAATCTTCATCTCTACCCACAATTTTAGAATCCACCATATTGAAAAAAATACTAGGATCCCTCAACTCCTGAGACAATGCCGAAAATAGCAAGATCAAAATCAAAAATCAAAGGTCCGATCCCATGAGAGACCTTCAACACAAAACGAAAGGTCCGATCCCATCAAAAAATCAAATCGAAAATAGCAGATAAGCTTCACAATAAAAAAAGTTAATTTTCTCTTCAACACAATACGCCTCACCCTTTTTGTTTCATCACCATTGTAAATAAACTATCCCAATTCAAATATCAGTCAATCAATACGTTATAAGCCCATAAAAATCAAATATTGTTTCAAATTACTGTTAACCATTACCTTATGAGATAATTTGCTGCATTATGAGTCATAGTTACACCTACATGAAATGGCTAGCAATGCTTGAACAAAGACAATGAGGCATCACATTGAAACAAACTGGCTATATATACTGAAAACACAAGCAAATATCACAAGCCAAGTTCCTAAATTCTTTTGAAAAATAACAAATGAACTAGGAACAGAGGGAATCCCAAAAATTAATAGTCAAAGTTCCTACATTATACTGAAACAAATGATTAAATGTCCATGTGAATATATTGCTCTAAACTGATATACATGAGAAGTTTCATCTACAAACAACATAAACTTATATAACATTTAACCAAACAGATCAGCTGAAACAAATAATCCCAGAATGACTGTTGTGTTAGAGTTGCACCAGTCAGGAATATGTAACAAATGGTTAAATGCCCATGTGATTATATTGCTCTAAATCTGAATAAAACAAGCACTTACGCCTATACATAACCACACAAAGTTCATTTTAATGTCCAAGAAAAACAGGCAATCAATGTACACCAAGAAGGTGACTGCATTCAAAAGACAAATCAAGTAACAGACAACATCACTTTTCCACTTGACTGAGATTCAACTGGCATGGACAAAATGATAAAAACCCATCAATGCATGAGAGAAGATCGTCTAATACAAAATGATGATCCATGAATTAAACCCATATAAATTCTAGTTATTATTACTATATTTCAAAGCCTCTGGGGCAATCTTTTGTAGATACACTAAAGGAAAAGAATAAACTAATTTCTGTATATAGTCAATATTCTAATCCACACATCACAAACTTACCACAACAAGAGATTGAAGATGTATCAGAACAAAAATCAATTTCAACCTAAAAAAGAAAGAAAATACACAAGGACTAAATTACATTCCCCCAACTAACCTTTAGGATAATACGACCATGTTACACATACAAAGACACGCCCAAGAAAAAGGAAGAAGATAAAAAGAATAAGATGAAGGAAAAAAGTAAGATATAAAAAAAAAATTACATTCCCCCAACAAGGTGTTTAGTGGTATCGGGAATAACTAGATGAAATTTCAACTTTTTAATAGAGGAAGCTCACAGATTAGGAGAAAAATTAAATAGATTGCAAATAGTAACAATCAAAACAAAAAGGGGATCTAACAAAATCCGAGCTAAAAGTAAAAATTCTGTTCATTTTGAAAAAAGGTGCCATAGGAGTTAGAGATTTACTATTCAAGATTCATGGTTGATGCGTAATTCGATGGCGAAGAAGAAAATCTTACCCGTCTCTAACACTGCCGCCTACAGTTAGGATGAAGAAAGAACAAGAAGATTTGAAGTTCGGCACGGTTGATTGATCTGAATATCTTCAAGCCCTCGATTGATTGCCCGCCATATTTTCCCACCAATTCTGAAAATGCTCTTGTTTTTCTCCACTTTTCCGAACTTTTTTCCCACGATTCTACAGATTTTGGGACGTTTTTTTTTCTAATTCATACTGTCAAAGAGATTGTTTAGTTTCAAACAGTGGGATTCACTACTGTCAAGGCATGTCAGATAAAATTAGACCACGACAGAACTCATTGGAGAGATAAATATGAAGACGTTTATATCTACTAATGACATGGCAGTAATTTTTTTCATTATACGACAAGCGTTGGAGTTGCTCTAACATGGCGGTGAATAGACTATTCTACACATTGTTTTTCAACCCGGACCGACTCGACGGGTCGACCCCGTACCCGGTCGATCCGAAGCCGAAACCGGTTCGAGTGGGCTATTTGGACCGGGCAACAAAGGACCCGGTCAAACTCGATCAAAACCCGGTCAACCCGGCATTGACCCGGCCGGGTAAACCCGGTTGACCCAGTCCCTATATATTTTTTTTATTTTTTTATTTTTTTAAAATATTTTTTGTTTTTAAAAAATAAAACAATGTATATATTTATATAGTAAATATTTATTCTACAAATTTTACATACAAAATATTTAATTTTGTTATTTTTATGTATATTTATATGGCAAAATACTCTATATATAATATTAAAAAATTTAAAATTAATTATCCGATTTAGCAATGGACCTGGTGACCCGCCGGTTGAATCGGTGACCCGGTGACCCAGAGACCTGCCCGGGTCGATTCCCGGGCCGAGTTTGAAAACTATGATTCTTAGAGTATCCACAATGCTTTGGGTTCAACCACAAAAAATTAGATGTCACCTAAGAAATAGATCTAGTCTAAAAAAATGTATTCTCCAATTCAAACAAAAGTAGGCTGGGTCTTGCTGATGTGGCAGCTAAAAATAGAGACTCAGTCTACCCTTAGGTCTATTTTAGACCCAAGTAGAGACCTAGTCTCTTTGCATTGGAGTAAATTTTATCAGTTTTACATAGTTTTATCCATGTCATTCGAAACTTGGTTTATTTACATGTCACATAAGCAAGATTAGACCAATGCCTTGTAGATGCCACATATTCAAGGACATATTGGTATCTTCATAAGATGACACGTGTCGGCCTCTATAAGAGAGCTAAATAGTGCTCAGTCATACCTACAAACCGCTGGTCCCAATTATCAGTGCCTCCTCAGTGACCGGAATCCCGCACGGCCCGGGTTCTGCAATCTTACTGCCTCTCGCGCTGCCTCAGTCCCCGGAATCTCACTGCCGCTCGCGCAGCTTTCAGACCGGAGTCTCCAAATCCCGTCCCTCTGCAACTCTCCGCTCCAGGTATTTTGATGGCTGAGTTGATGTCGGTCAATTGAAATGTTGTCTCAAAATCTGAAATTCGCAGATGTAAATGTAGAAATATATGATATATCTGTGTTCCCGTAGCGTTTTAATTGTTGTCTGAAGTCTGAACTTAACATGTTTATTCATTCATGAGTTTGATCTTTGTTTAATTAAACTGTTACCAGTTTTTTTTGGGCGGGCCAGCCAGCCTTTACCCGCAGCTGGCCGGGGTGGCTTTTTATCATCCCTCCCACCTTGTCGGTCCATTTTTACATGTCTAACTACAGATGCTGTGAACAGACTGCAGCAGAGAAATGTTTGCCATATTTCGTTCTTCCGCATCCAAGCTCCGCTGCTTAACTATCTCCACCCTCTCCTTCAAGCCATTGTCAAACCTCTTCCACTCCTCTGCCACCAGAGCCCCACCCATCACCACCCTTTTCCAGCCCCAGCTGAGCCTGCTATTCCGCAGACCCCAGAGATTAGGGTTTCAAGAGAGGCACAAATGGGACAGAAGCTCAGACAAGTACGATCAAATCAAGGCCGAGGTCAATTGCCCCCGATGCTCCAAGATGATAACCGTGCTCTTCTCCAACCGACCTCTCTCCATCACTGCCACTGAGAACGGGATTTACCAGGCTGTCAGCATGTGCTACAATTGCCGGACGGCCTATTATTTCCGGCCGTTCAAGCTGGAGCCACTGCAGGGGAGTTTCATAGAGATTGGAAGGGTTAAGGGTGGGAGAGAGAATTTTGCGGATATAGAGAGCAATGGCGTGGGGAAAGGTGGAAAAAATGGGGTTAAGATTTGGGAGAAGTTAAAGTCGTATGGTGGCGGTGCGATTAATGCAAAGAGAGGCGATTCTGATGTTGATGGTGATTGTAATGCGGAAGGAAACTTAGATGGAAAGAGTGCAGGGGTTGCGGAGGAGGTGGTTAAAGTAGGGAAGGAGTTGCCAACTCCAAAGGAGATATGTAAAGTGCTCAATGAGTTTGTTGTTGGGCAAGAGAAGGCAAAAAAGGTTTGTTTTTTTCTGGCTGAGTTTATGTTAGGAACTTGTTTGGGGGTGCGAAACTTTGTAGGGTTAGTTTCCGCTAGATAGCACCACAATGGATGGAATGTGCCCTTGAAAATGTCTGTTCTCTGATTTGTGCCAATATGGTGAGTGCATTATCAATCTTGAGGTCCCATATTGCTGCTAGCCTGCTACTTGTGATTGCTAGCAAATTTCAGTGCATAGAATGGTTAGTTGATTGGAAAACGTTGCAGCTTATAGCTATTCATCTGTTCCATTACTTGTAAAACCTATCTGTATACCTAAGTTGAAATTGTTTTGGATACTCTAGAGAACTGTCAGTTTTGAAGTTATTGTATATGTCTCCTATTTGAATGTCAAACTTCTCGAAAAGATCAGGCTAGGGTGCATATTTTTTGAACTTGAAGAGATTATTTATGCTCTGAACCCTTTTATTAATTATAAAACTAATGAATTAAATTAAATTATTTTAGTACTAATATGTATCTTATATTACATAGTTCATGATTTGATAAGAGGTGTGATGGAGACACTCTTCTGTGATATCTTCCTACCTATGAAATATTTCTCTTGTTTCATGAATTCTTGGACATTCAATCTATGGCGTTTCATGAGTTTTTTCACATGGCAGGTGCTTTCCGTTGCTGTTTACAACCACTACAAAAGAATAAATAACCCATTGGTGCAAAGCCAGTGAGTAATATACCTTTATATCTAGTTCTTTCAAGGAAAGTGCGGTACTTGCCATACTTATCCAGTATAATAATTTGATTGTTCAAGCATATCACTTGGTTTCTGTATTATGACTTATTTTGCATTCAATGACTTAAGAACATACATAGGTGATGTCACCTTGCAGATAAATATTTCTCTTAGTGGATTCCTTTCCTGTTTCATAGAGGATGCTTTTCAACTTGTTGTCAATCATTGAATTGCATTTTACTCTCAGGTCAGGTGCTAAACCAGAAAATGCTGTCACTGAATTGGATTTTTCCGGTGACGAAGTTGTTGAGCTGGAGAAGAGCAATGTCTTATTGATCGGCCCAACTGGTTCAGGCATGATGCGTGTTTTTGGTTTTGTAAACACTTGAATATAATGCTTTTGGTCAGAGTGGCAGCAGTTCTGTTTGTAGGGGGTACTTTATTAATCATTGCGCTATTATGATTTATGTATCTCCCATTTCTTGAAGGACAGGAAAGACACTTCTTGCTAAAACATTAGCTCGTGTTGTTAATGTGCCTTTCGTCATTGCTGATGCCACGACACTAACACAGGCAGGTTTGATGTAGATAAGTAATTTTAGTACTTGCTATTGTATTTCTGTGTCGCGTTTTGATACTCTATTTTATGACTAACTTTGGGTGTGTGTGTCTACAGGCTGGTTATGTTGGGGAAGATGTGGAATCTATTCTATACAAACTACTCATGGTAAATTTATTGGATTTTTTGTGCATCTTAATAAAAGTAACGACTTAAATACAGATTTAAGACTTATGCATAGAAGTTCAAGTGTGTTTTATTTATGGGATTTCTTAACTCAAGATGTTGTGAAATGGCATGATGGAAGAATGAGTTGGTATGAAATGATAAGTGTTATCCACTAGTTTTTAATCTTAATCTAATTTTTTTTGTTTTTTTCTTAATGTCCTATGAAACATTTGTCTTCCATGGTTTGATTATTTATGGAGTGCTTTCTAAATTTATTTTTATAGAGGTCTTAAATCATGATGAACTATTGAGAAGATGAAGGAAGAAGGATTATAAATAATCGCCGGGGCCTAGTGTTTAGATTTAGGTTTCTAGACCTGCAGATTTTAAGAACTCAAGGCTAGTGTTTAATGATAATCATCTGATCTATTTATAAGAAAATTAAATGTGTCGATTCATAATGGTTACTTCAAAATCCTCTTTCTATATATGTTTTTCTGAGTTGGCAGGAAGTTGAACTTCTGCTGTTCCTTCCATTTTTACTTGGTCTGACACACAATTATGTAGTGTATATTAAAACCAAAAGTGCAGCCAAAGCCAGACTGAAACACATCTTTGAAATATTGCCTGTTTGCTGCATATGTTTCAAGGCATACTTGTGACTCATTCAGTACACATTAGCCAAGACTGGTGCTATGTTTGTCGAATTGCATCAGCATATCTGTTTGCATTTTTTCAGCCCCTCCTCGAGGTCTTAGTATAATATATTGCCATCTTATCTCATCTACAGGCTGCTGACTTCAATGTTGAAGCAGCTCAACGTGGAATTGTTTATATAGATGAAGTTGACAAGATAACCAAGAAGGTCTGGTAGTAGCAGATCTCAAATAAGATGATTTGAAGTGATTAACTGAGGAGCTAATTTTTGTTGTTTCTTGATGAATTGTCTTTTGGGAGGCTCTTTCCAGACCGAGAGCCTCAACATGGGCAAAGATGTATCTGGAGAGGGTGTTCAGGAAGCTCTGCTGAAAATGCTAGAAGGAACTGTGAGTACTTTTATGTTTTCCTTTGCGTTTCACTTTTATCAGTGGCTCACTATTTTCTTTTTAAAAATTGTAAGATATAAGAACTTTGTATTTTTCACTGTGCTCCCAAATCATTTCCTTTCTACCTACTTCCAAGTTTTCTTGCAGAGCGTTATTAATATTTTTTTTAATGCATTATATTGATAATACGCTCATCTCTACTAGGTTTTAAGTATTCCTGACAGTAGCACGCCCAAGCATTCACGGCATGATAGCATTCAGGTAGCCAGAACCTGATGTATTCTCCAAAATTTTATGCTTGTACATTTTTTATCCTTCTGTTTGAAGGTCTACTATAATATTTTATACCTTCCTTAAATAAATAAAAAAAAAGTAAAATATAATAATTTTAGTTCATTCACATTGTTTCTACTGGCTTTGTTCCCATCTTTTGATAAAACTGTAGCCTTTAATGGTATCTGCTAGGAGTAGAGAGTCAGGAACAGCTTGATAGTGAAAAGGAAAATTATGGATGATAAACAAGAACAAAGGACGAGGTGATTAACAGTCAGCAGCAGATTTCTGCCCAGCAAGAGTAAACTTACCCAAGCTAATCAAATCTATGCATACTCCCAACAATTTACAACCAGTCTTAGTAGTCTACTAATACTACTTTTTTACTAATAAATGTAATAAGAAATGAAAGGGTGGGGAAACCAATGGCTCAGTGATCAGGGTCCTAGAATCTGAGGATCCATAAATTTACCAACCAATATCTTTAAAGTTATTCCTTTCTAAAATTGAGTGGTCCATCATGCTAAACTTATTTATTCCATATTTACCCTTTCCATTTTACGTCTCTCAGTACCAATATTTTATCTCCTGTCAGGCTATATTGATTAAGCAAAATGAAATATACCCAACTGCGTAACATCTAATTCAAGTGACCGTTAAACTCCATTGAGTAGTACGTATCATTCAAATCATATAAGAAACTTGACCACTCTAACTATTAAACCCTATGTTTCATTTCATCTAGAATTTGTTATCATCTTTAATCAGCAAGTCAAACAAAGTTTTTAAATGAAATCAACGTACTGGTCTGTAATTCAATGGTTTAGCAATGGCTCTTTGTTCTTTTTCTAGAGCAGAATAGTTGAATATTCCTTTTGTGGAAAATGTGAATTATATTAGTATTAACTCTTTATTCGTGACACCAATGGATGGAAGTTTTCTTCTGCAAACGAAAATGTTACATATATGAATGGTTTTGTATTTTAAATAGTCTTTTGTACAGAAACTTATTTGTCTTTCATTTCATTTTTTTAAATGTCAGATAGATACAAAAGATATCCTCTTTATTTGTGGTGGAGCTTTTGTTGATCTAGAGAAGACCATTTCTGAGAGGTAGTGCAATACTTTTGACTGATTAAACCTGTTATATTATTTATATTTGCCAACATTTGGAATTATTCACTGTTTTGTCGTAGACGTCAAGATTCCTCTATTGGTTTTGGAGCACCTGTCCGCGCTAATTTGAGACTTGCTAGGTTGAATTCTGCTGCAGCCTCATCTCTACTAGAACACGTGAGCGTTGATTTTCTATATTTAATCATATTTTGTTCTATCCTGTCAAAATTTTCACATTGTACAGTTGTGTTTCAATTTACCTGAGGTATGGTATGACCGTTTAACGTTGCAGGTAGAGAGTGGTGATCTTACTGCATATGGTCTTATACCTGAATTTGTTGGGCGATTTCCTGTTGTCGTGAGCTTGTCGGCTCTTGATGAGGATCAACTTATTAAGGTGTGCTTACTGTTTACCGTTGACACATAAAAGAATTTTCGGCATCATATTTGTGATTCATAAGCTGGAGGGCCTGGATTTCTGCCTGTGCATCTGTGCGCCTTTTGCAGCTATGCTGTCTTTTGCCGCTATGCTGGCTGAAACTCTTTTAAAAGAGAATTGGTTTCAGGCCTCAAAACCCGTTGTCTGAACTTTTAGAAAAAAATAAAATAAAATTACAAATGTTTTCCACACTCTGGGCTTAAGAGTTGTAAATTGAGAGTCAACATTGTTTCTGGTAAGAACGTATGACCTCTGAGAAGGTAACCACTCTCTGAATATGTGTCCATGCAACAAAATAGACTCAATTTCTCTATAATTTCCTCATTCTTACTTCCAAAGTATACAAATTTACTGGAATTATTTTTAGCAATCTTTTATTCAAAAGTAAATCCTGCCTTTGGTAAATTGTTTCCTGTTGATCAATAGAAGTTTATAAAACAAAAGAGGTTGGTTGTTGGCACTTTTCCGCTATTGTATAACCTTTTTTCCAAATCTGTTACTAATGGGCCTTTTGTCCATTAGAACTGCCTGGATATCGAGAACATATAGAAGCTTTATTTCCTGTATTCCAATTGTTACTGGTTGCCCTGAATTTCTTATTGAATCTTGGATGTTTTCTCACAAGAAATCAACTCCGCTGTACCTTCGTGTATGGGATGGTATTTAAATTGCTATAACAAATCTTTTGTTGGCAATACATTATTTTACACATCTGCAGTGCACTTTTGACTTAAAGATGTATTAAATCCCTAAAGGCTACGTTTGGATTGAGAGATTTGAAATCTATAGATTTCAAATTTAGTTCAAATCCCCACACATGTTTGGATATGTTCAGATGATAATTGAAGTAGGAGGATTTCAAATTCACGTCAAATAGACTTTAGTCATTACTTTGAATGATTTTAAATGACTCCTCAAACCTCTAGTTATTTGAAATCCACTATTTACTCCACCGTTTACGACCACAACTTCCGCGAGTATGAATCTTAGATTCATAACCACCGCGAGCCAACACCATCAATGCAAGCTAGACAATGGATTTATAATCCTTTCCACAAATCCATTCAAGGAGTTTAAAAGTAGCAAATTTAAATTTCAAAGGATTCCAAATCAAGGATTTCAAATTCCTCAATCCAAACGTAGCCTAAAAAGAATTTGGTCTACAAAATTAAATTTTTCTGGCGCAAACAACTCCATTTGAGAGTTCAATCACGAGTTAAAAGACCTTGCGCTCCACTTTGGTGAAAATACAAATTGTGGAATACTAATGCATGTCACTTGTTGGTAGAAACAATATGTAAATATAGTTCTGCATGCAAAAAGAGAGTGAAAGTATAAGCCATTTCTATAGTGATTTATTCTCAATTCTTTGTTTTTCTTACTCGTACTTGAGATGTTTTGGATTTTGACCCTCTTCACTTTTCAAAGGTTCTTACTGAGCCTAAAAATGCTCTATGTAAGCAATACAAGAGGATATTCAGCATGAATCATGTAAGTTATGATTGACCCTGTTGTTTGCAAGTACATTGTTCCATACTTATTCGAATCAAGTACAAACTAGCGTTTTTGTTGTTTCTCTGAGTACAGGTCAATTTAGAATTCACAGACAGTGCAATGAGATTGATTGCTCAAAAAGCAATAGCCAAGAATACTGGTGCACGTGGTCTGAGAGCTATATTAGAAAATATTCTGACAGAAGCTATGTTTGAGGTATTGNTTGAAAAAAAAAAAAAAAAAGTGCTCATGCTACGAATCATGGCCTTACTCTGATTGGAAAAGCAGTTTAAAACTGATGGTACTTGTAGATTTGTGAAACTAATCATATACCCTTGGACTTATTTCTTTTATATATCATATTTGTTCCCCAGGTCCCAGATGCAAAACCTGCAGATCATGTGGATACAGTCTTGGTTGATGAAGAGGCCGTGAAACATGGAGCAAAATTGCTACATTCGGATTGTGGGTTTGACGAAACTTTCAGGCAGACAAAATCGAAAAATGCAAGTTTGCATTTAATTGCTTGTCTCTGTTTTTGAAACTTGATTGCATTTCACACGCTTCTAATCTTCTTTGTACATTGATATGCATAGCCCCAGTTGATCAGTTGATTAGTTGATTGGCATACAGCCATTTCCATGATCACCGTAAACCGTCCTGTTGGGATTGGTGGACATATTTTAACTTATTTCCTTATCTTTGGTGTTCCTCAGGAGGAAGATAAAAACCCAGTGAGGATAGGCGACGTGGAAGTTCTGGAGGGTTCATGGCCTGCCATTAGCTTGTAACGTGACTACTGAAATATGCACGATAAACCTTTTCATGTATATAATATAAATATGGAGGATGGTATTTTAAATATGATTTCTGAAAGTCGGTCTCAGTCTGCCCAAGTGCCTGAAGTTACCGTTGCTTCTGCTTTTCTTCGGGTGGAATACCTCGTCTTTGAACACGTGCTCGTTTAATAAATGAGTCAGCTAAGCTCAGCTTAACTCGACTCGTTTAATAAATAAATAAAGGACTTGGCTTTTATAAAGCTCGAAAAAACATGGTTTGGTTTCGTTAGTTTAATCAACAAAAAACCATAAATGTGTTTGCTAACACAAATTGATCATTTGCGAACAAGTTAGGCTTTGGTGTTTCATTCAAGTCTCCATTAAAGTTGTTTCATTCAATACGCCATAAAATTGAAAGGAAAAATTGAGTTGTCTCTGTTTTCGATTAAATTAGCTCAACTCAGAGTAATTATAATTATAATTTTGCCATTAAAATAGCATACACACTTTTTAGTCAGGTTCATTTTTTTACAAAATCAATTCTCCTTTTATAACAGTATACATGATTAGATTGAGGAAGATATAGATAGATGGACATAGATTTATCCTACAAATATCAATTCACAAAAACTATTTGCATGGATTTTGACAGGCATAAAGAACCAAAAATACTATTCCGCCGCGAGACGCGCATCGAATCAAGTGTAATATATATAATCTTAAAGACAGCTTATCATTGTTGAGCTATTAAAAGTATTTTTTCAAATAATACAAAACATTTTAATTCTCTACACATTTACACAAAACAGAATAATTTAGAGGCATTCACCTGATATTTGTCTGGTGCACAATATAGATGGATCGACCCCACCCCTTCTCTTTTCCCGTCTCCATCAAACACCTTATTGCTCTCAACAACTTATCTGCCTCTTCTCCACAGCTCAACTCCAAGTTCGTCTGCAAAAGAGGCAGTGGAGTTTGAAAATTCTTCCATGGCATCCTTTTACCATGAGATGCTGCTGCTGATGATGCATCTAAACCACTTCCAACAATATGCACCACCTCACTATCATTATCAGCAAGAATTACACTCTCCATTCCTATCCGAGATAGAACATCCCACTCAGGATCAGCTGGAACACCTTCGAAACTCGGCTCACCAAAGTGTTTTAAGCTAACAACCAATATATGCCTCTGAGTGATCAATACATATTCGCCGGGATTCTTAAGTGCTTTGCACATCACTAAATTTTCCTCTTCTTCTTCATCTTTTTCCTCCTCCTTTAGCTTCTTGAGCAAATACGACCCAACAGCTTCTTCCCAGGAGTAAGGCCTCAAAGGGGAGCCTGCACTTAAAGGTCTCGGCAAACGGACCCTATGACACCTTCGCTGGATTGAGATTCGACTTCGGTTCCTAATACTCTGTGCAGCTTTCCCAGTCACCTCAAGCATACTAGCTGCAGGTCTTGCCACAAGCCCAGTAACACCCAAAGCTATACCTGAAACAACTCCTGGAAGCCCGTGCTTTTCAGCTCCTTTGATTGGTGATTGGAGCACACCAGTAAGTCCCTAACCCAAAACAAACAAACACAATCTTCACAATTCAACCCTCAAACTATAAAAAATGACAGTTTCGAAAGTCCCTATTTCTACACACAAAAAAAGGAAAAAAAGAAAAAAAATGAGAAGAACACCTCCAGGAATTCATTGATTACTCCTTTACTATGCAATGACATGCCCTTCTTCTGCCTCTCGATCATCATCGCGTTTTTGTCGTCAAACGTAAAGGCAACAATACCCTGCAAGTTGAGATGCAGTTCAAATATTGGGAAAAGGTTTAGTTTTGTTGTGTTACATCAATCTAGAAAAACAAGTACCTTATGTGCAGCTTTGCTGAATTGACTAGTAGCATCACTTATAGCATACACTGTGTTGCTAAGCAGGCTTGTTGTCCCTTGGGCCATACCTGTAATGAGTCCAGCTGGGCTCTGGAAAAAAATAAGCTTTGGGTTGAGATCATAATTTTCTACTAATACTCAAAAGAAAAAAGATGACAATTATAAAGCAAAAAAAAAAACATTTCCAACGAAGTACGTATATACCTGGAAAACACTCCAGATAGGAAGGGAGAAAAAATCTTTGATACCAAGACCTAAACTTCTTGCAAACCCCAAAGGGTTTCCTATAACACCAGCAGAACCAAAAACCTGCAATAGTGAGGTTCATTATAACGTGTAGCTAAGTATATGAGAAAAATGTGGAAGAATGATAGCAAGAAGTAATTCCTTTTTCTTATTATGTAATATGATTTACATCCTTTAATTCTCTAAATAGAACAGAGCAGTAGATCTGAATATTTAAATCAAGATGCATATTCCGTAACTTAAGTAGATGAAAAAAAAAAGGGAGGGGGGGAGGGAGGAACTTCAAGGATGATATCCTAAGAATCTGAAGAAATGAAATATTCTGAAAATCTGGAGAAATCAAATCATAATCCTGATTCTATGAAATTAAATCTAACAATAATCCTGATTCTATGAAATCAAATCTAACCACTTTCCAACAGTAAGAATTAAATTAATCAGCACTATCTAATGCCAAACTGTGGAATAATGGACCTTAAAAATTACATAATACAAATACAATTTGTATAACAGGTTAATCAACCGTGTATGGTTCATAATATATCCAATTCACGTACATAATATGCAGAATGGAAAAATTAAGACATTTATACCATTGTGTTTAAATTTTCATTTGACAGAAAGAAAGTCTCAGTTTACACAAGATGACCAGATGTCTTTTCTACTTTCTATGTTGGTTAATAGAATAATAGTATAAATTATGATTTGTTAAATATTATTTTCTTAATTCATCTAAAAAAATATTGTAATTTATTAGCACCATGTTCAGTTTTAATGGTGTTGATAAATTATGCAAAGTTGTAGGCTGTAACTCTAAACATGTCATTTCGCATATGTAAGGCATGCCCCACTTTGTGGCAAATTATACAAAAGCTTGTTTACACAAGGCTACTTCTCACTACATGAAAAGGTGCCCAAAATACTAGTAACTTACAACTAAAAACCGTACAATCAAAAACTGTATCAACAAGATAAAGCCATCGAGGAAGTTACCTTATACATCTCATGTAGAAATTGTCGAGTATAATGGCTAACAAGGATCTCTTGGATAGATTCCCAGCTGGCCATCTGGTCTGAAAGAACTAACTGCTTGAAATTAATTTTTGCTCCCTCGACATCAGCAAGAGCCATAAGACCTCTCTACAAAATATTGCTGTCATTTAGTCTAAGAGGCCCGAAAAGGTACAGAAGCATTTTATATTGATGTAATGTATTTCACAACATCATTTCAAGCACGACACTATAAGTTAGCAATTAACAGTGCATTCAAGGAGTGTTGACTAACTCTTCAGTTCAATTCCTGCTTACATGAATAAGAGATTCTCCAGATGTAAGAACACCATTCCTTTGGATCCATGGGCTGCTAGAAAAGCTGTGAGGAAAAAAGGGTTAGCATCATGGTGGGATTTACTATTAGATGGACTGGATTTCAGAAGGCACGGCATAATAGAACTGCTAACCTCAATGTTAGTTTTATTGGCCCCATATCAAAAAGTTCAACATATATTTTCTTATGCTTCCACGTGGAAAGGCAAATTTCCTGCCAAGGAGCTCCAATTGGGACTACATGAGGAAGCAAATAGCTTCTTTTTTTATCATTACTAAGCATAGTACTAGCGCCAAAAGGGTGTTTCTCATCCAATCTTGCAGAACTCGCCCAAGCAATTTTAGATGTTTCAGCAAATTCAGAATCAGAAAACACTAGACTCTGCGTGGAGTCTACATGCTGAAAAACTCTGCTACGCAGTCGTGAAGATGTGCTTTTGCAAAATTCAAATAATCTCAACACAATTTCCAGCTCAATCTCAAGATAAAAATCTTCTATTCTGCAAAAGGAGAGTAATGCGTCAAAGGAAAGAGATGCCAAACAATAGTCCAGATTTAGCATTCGAAATCCTACAAACCTGAGGTTAATATATTCAAATGAAACCACAGATGCATCGGAGTTTCTCCACTTGGAAACAGCTAACGAGAACGCTGGCTCATGCAAGTCTGTGGAAGCTATTTGACTTGCACCTCCACCGATTGCACTTTTATCTTTAAACTTCATTTGGTTTACAAAATTGCTCTTGTTCCCACGATTGAAGGACAGGATTACCGGATAAGGCGTTGTGTGTAATTGGTTGTCAATTTGCAACAATGCCGTTTGCAGGGAGAACTGCTGCTGATCCAAACTCTGCACGAAGTTTACTTTCAGTTTCTTGGCACATGCAAAGAGCAGCTCCTACAAAACAAAAAGAGCTGTTATAATCAAGAATGGTTATAGGAGATAAGGTAAACACTGAAAACTTTGAAACTTATAAGTCAAACTCCAACGAGAAGACACCTCAGGGCGAGAACTCATTAAAGAGACTCCAAGAAACGGAATGTCAATTGAAAACCTTTCCTTGTAACTAAGAAAAGATTCATATTTTTGAGTCTGCCTTCCTTTATCTTTCAACTGGGGAACATGAAGACTCTTCAGATCTTCCAAAACATGGTAACTTGAATCAATGATACTTAGAACCTGATTAAAAAGCCATATACATTCATTATTATATCTAAAGCAGAAATGGTATTTGTATCAGAGAGGTCCACGCTGGATACCTTAATTGCTCTTTCAGAATGGAGAGAAATGAGCAAATTTCTTTCAGGCTTCTGTAAAAATGTGGAAGGCGTACACATCAGTAAATGAAAAAAAAACTCTACTAGAATATCAAAATAGTTGCATGTTTAAAGTAGTAGATGCCACTGCATTTGTCACAGATGGGGCTCACAAACAAGGCTTAGCAAATTGGGTTGCACTAGTCACCAAGATCAAATTTAAATTGTTATATCAAAATGTTGTATTTATTACAAACCACTTCACATGTGCAATCCTTGACGGATACACAATTCCCTCTACCCCCATCCCTGTCTGAATTGGCCACTAAGAAGAAAGAGGAGTGGAAGTGCTAGACCATATGGGATAGGAAGCTAACCAAGAGAAGAGTGGAACAAGCTGTCTATAATAAGAGCTTTCACTTGTGTATCTTGATTCTTTCTCCATCCCCTTAAGAGATAAAAAGTCCCTTGTTCTATCTTTAAGACATAAAATGAAATAGAGAAAAGCCTCTCCATCACTTTTAAAGTCTAGGATGTATCTTTGTATTATATTTTACGCCTTCCATAACCTAGGTTGGTCAGCATTACACGCAAAACCAAGTCACTTGGACGCCAATATTTCACACCATGTAAGATCAATCATGCCCAACGACCCATATTAAAAAAAACCGTTCCTATTTCTTCTGGTCTAGATCTCTTTCCAACACTTCTGCTGCTCCATTAATCTAGCACTTGTAATAGTGTTATGTGCTTGTCGCGTTTACTTTAATTAGAAAGTAAGAGTAACACATCAAAGTAGAGAAATATCACATAATCAAAACCGGATGCTTGCTTGTATTCGCACCAAATCAGTAATCAAACACACACATATCAATAGGTTTGCTCGTATACTTAGNAATGACTTAGAAGATATTCCTTTAATCACAATCGTCAATATTGTTCCATCCAATTTCCTAGTAGATTTAGAAGACAACTTCAAATGTTACAAAGACATAGGTGTTTCGTGTATGACAATCTAAAAACGCTACTCAAATAAAGGCTACACTTTGACATTGCACGTTTGAGACATGAATCAAACGTGCACAATCTCATATGCAGGCATATGGCATGCAGAGTTTAATTTCCGTAATTGCCATTTCACACACTTTCAAATTGGATCTATTTGATTGCTAAGGAATAAAGATAAAGTTCTTGTCAAAGGCCATTTTTATGTGGTAAGATAAGTTTCTAAAATACTGAATTATCAATACCAGATGAAATATAAAAGAGCCCACAAAAGTGTACCTCTGAAGTTGCAGGGAGACACACAAGTGAATGAGCAGATGCATCATCAATGGCAAATGTTCCTAAAATACGTTCGCCTGGCACCTGACATAATTTTGAGAAGGAGATTAATCCCCTAAGATGCACTCATCAATCTGAGTATCTGACTTCAAACATCCATACCTCAACAATGAGACGGTGCGGATAGCATGGTTCATCCCAGGCATAAGAGGAAGATGTGTAAGGGTAAATGACTGTTTCAAAAGATTCACATTTTGGCTGGTATATCCGTAACCTCTACAAAAGTGTCAAAAGGGATTGTAATAACAGATAATAATGACAGACAGATTAAGGATATAAAGAATCAAAGAGTATCATGATTGACGAGAATAATTGAAAAAGAGTTTGCAAACCAAACCTTATAGCAATGAATAGAACTCTCAAAAGGCATTAATTTTAGATTACAAAATTGCTTAAACAAATGTTTCCCAAGGAGGTGGGGGAGGGAGTTGCAAATAAGGGAAAAAAATAAACATTTTGGAACAGAAAGTGACAGGAATGATCATTCCTTCAGAAGAACAATTACGTTAGACAAAACTGACACAGTTCGGAAACTTAACTCTGATCCCCAAATGATAGTAATTGTAGTCAAGTATTTAGGGAGATAACGTGAAAAGAGTGAAATCTTGGTTTGCAATTGTCAAGTATTATGGGGAGATAACTTTAATAGAGTGAAATCTTGGTTTGGACGAACACAAAACTTATTACAAGTACAATTCAACTCTTTAAAAGAGAATTCTCATGCCCCCAGGTTTCGCGTAGCCAACATTACCACCACCAAAGCATGAATCCAGAATCAACTAACCTCCCTTGAATGGTTGTCAATCCTATATGGCATAAAGCCTGTATCATCAATGGACAAAAGAATCAAGTTTGTCTCTGAATTTCCACTTGTGCTTCCAACAATTTTTCCTTCTTCAGCAGAAACATCAGCACTCCGAACTTCCACACGCATCATGTTGACAGCGGTTGTCATATAGTTGCGCACTTTGACTTGAGTGTCACCTAAATTCTCTGGTGAAAAGCACCCAGACCACTCCGATCCTGGCTCATCAAATCGTACAGAAAGCAGAAAGTCCCTGCAAATAAACAAAAAAGATAAAAAATAAAAAATCAGGAGGATTCACGAATTGTTCAAATACAATTCTCTAGCAAGCAACCATGAACAGTTCAACGAAGCACATTGCCATTGTTGTATTTCGTTGATAACTAGCACAAAAAAGATAGCGGCATAAAGTAACAAACCTTGTTGTATCCATCCACTGAATATGGGAATGTTTACCAGTTTCCAATAGAAAAGGAGAATCAGTTCCCTTCTGCTTATATAATATTTTTTTTGTGCATGCATTAGCAATCACAAACCTGTAAAGTTACCACATGTATGTTATTTCACTTGAATAGAAAGACGGTGTGGAGTGAAGAAAGTTTCAAGCACATAACTCGTCTAACCAGCTTTGACAAGAAAAACTACCTGGGTTGGAAAGTGATAATTTTTGTCCTTGCAGAAAAAGGTGCAGCCATAACAGAAACAGATAATTCATATCCGACTGCCATGGACGGTTGGGGAAGAAGAACACTGGCTGAACCAGCTGGTGGGACAAGTGAAAACGGAGCAGACCATGAATGCTTTGGAGAACTTTCTGTAACCGAAGGCAGGTACCTACTCAGCTTTACCATGGCTTCCCCCGAACACAAATGAGGATCAGGAGAAAACAAGCAAGCTGTGACCTTTCCACTGCCACTTTGTACAAAATTGGGTGAACTCGAATATGTTTCACCAATACATCCTAGATGGACCAAAGCAAAGAAAAAGATAAGCAAATAATTGTAGCCTCACGTGTAAAGAAAAATGCGTTGATGGATGACATATTGACATATAACACTATCACCTGAAGCAGGAAAAGTCTGATCAGAATATATCAGCCCAAGACCGTCTTTCTTTTTAACCAAGCTCTGCTCGTCCAAATTATAGCATGACGGAATGATGCAGTTATATCCTCCTTTCATTTCATTGACAGAGGTAGAGAGTACCAGAGAAAATCCAGTACAATTATACAACAAAAATGGAACAAAGATGAATAGTTCACGCGCTCCAGATGCCGCATCCATCACCTTCTCCATGGTAATGTATAATGGGCCTGTAACATTTTAAATTTGCTTCTAACCAATAGATATTTGGGTGTAAAAACCTTAATGGAGATAGACTCAAACTATAATTTCACATACCATCGGAAAACTCAGGATCAAATTTTATTATTTCTGACAATGAGAACTTAGTTCCACTGAATTTAGCTTTTCCACAAAATGATTCAGCACGTGGAAATTTCAGAGTGGAAGGCCTAAACCCATGCATTTGGAATGTTATTGACAGGTCATGAGAAGAATCAATATGATATAAATAAGTTTCAACCTGAAATTCAACCAGAAGAATATCAAATTCAAGACAAAATTGTATGCTGGCTGTAAGATGGATATAAAATTGAGAACAAAGTTAATTAAATGAGCTTATCGAATGAAGGATACAGAATTGCAACATACCTCGGAAAGGAAGGCAGTGCGTGTAACACCAGCATTTTCTAGTGTCACAGACACAGGTCTCATGAGATAATTCTTCAACACTAGCGGACTAGTCAACATTAACTGGTAAAGAAACCGATTCCTTGGTATCTCGAAATTGTTCAAGGATTGAACATTTGACCCTGGAGTTTGTTTACCACTTTCAAGATCAACTGAGGAATTAACCCTTCTTGTTCTGACAACTGGAGGCAGACACTGCTTATTCACAGTAATGCAACAGCGAAACGCCTCACTGCTTGGTTGAGAAGGATAGCAAACAAAAGCACGCAAAAAACCAATCCTGACATCCTCAGAGATAATACTAGACATATTAAACGTTTCACTCCATAGGTATGAATCACCAAGAGGACGCCATCGAATACAGCCTGCTTCAGCCAAATGAATTGGGAGAGGAAACTCCTGGCCAGGATATATCGGGCCCAAAACCTGAACAAGTGAGGTTAGGAACATAAGTGGCACATGGTCCTCAAGTTCCCAAGGGATGTTAAAAATTGGAAACCAAAAATAAAAGTTCGACAGATTACCTTTGGGGCCACACCGAATGGAATATCGAACCTTACTTCAAGCAACATGGAAGTTGAGTTTAGAATCACAACCTGAAAGTAGGGAATATCTAGTAAGGTAGAAGAACAAAGTTCATTCTAGAAAAGTACAGAATGTAAACATACTGTTGAATATAATCGTATCAACTTGGTAAACCGCTGCACAGAAACATCAATCAAGACAGGAATAGCGAACCCTCTAGCTGCATCTCCCACACCATCTCCTTTGGATTTTCCATTTCTTTTCATAGAATTTTCATCACTTTGGACCTCCAAAACATGTGAAGATTGTGAAAATTCAACTTCGAAATATCTACGACCAACAAGATCCATTGAAATTGGAGCAGAAGGTACAGAGGTAGCCTCCAGCTGAAAACTAACATATCGATGTGCTGCCTCAAGTAATTGGTTGTCATTGAGTCTATCAGAAGATTGTGCTGGTCTATACCGGAAAAGTAATTCCGCAGGTGATTCATTGATGTGAACAAGAGTAGAAGAGCCAGGTTGCAAGAATCCTTTCGAAGGGGACACACCCAGATCATCATTCCCAAAGCTCTGTTGAGAGATAAAAAAAGCTAGAGGTAGAGTAGTTAAGTTCTGTAGAATGTATGGAGTGTATCTTCGTGCCTCTGGAATTTTAGCTATCTGAGAATTTGAAGGATTTGGGATTTCTGCCATTCCAGAATGGGTCCATGCATCCCCAATCATCTCAATTGTTCTTGACACAACCTTTTGCAGGATATGAATTGTCATTAGGGCCACAAAACTATAGATACAAAATTTATGAATGAAAGGTGAGGAAAAAGATGAACAGAAAGGCAAAAGCTATAAGGCAGGTTAAACCTTGTACTGAATAGAACAATGAGCAGAATTGTTGCTAACCAAGTAAGCATGCTAACATATTATTTGATGTTACCAACTAATACCATTTGGAAACACGAAGAACCCCTTGAGAGGGACAATTTTTTAGAAGTATAAGAAACAGAAAAGAAATACCTCAATAATGGACTCGTTAAGATTCACATTAAGATGCGTCTTAGATTCAAGACTGATATCTGTCATAATAGTGCCACTGAAGAGACACCCTACATCCTGCTTTCTGCTCATCCTTAACTGAAACTTCCAGGGCTCCATAAAAGGTTCCCACAAGACCTAAAATAAATCATTAGAAGAAACACCACAACAGGGGAAGCAAGAAAGAATTTATTATGTTGGTCTTCCTACCTTGTCGATGCTATAGTAGTTCATTTGAAGCTCACACCCAAGTGATCCGTCGATTTCATCCTCAGTAAAAGTGGAGAAAACAATTGAGTCTCTCACAAGAAACTCCAGCAAAGGTGCATTCGATGTCTGCTATATCAATAAAAACAATTGGTATGCAAAGGGACGAAAAAATCAATAAGACATCTCAGCTACCAGTGACAAAATCAAAAGAAAAGAGAAAGAAAAATCTGTAAATTTGTTCTCACTACATTTGGGGGTTCACATCGTTAACAAGAAAACTAAACCAAAAGGCTGATTGTTGACCACCAATGTCACAATGTGTGCCACTCTGTTAAACAATTCATATGGAAACGTACCTAGGTCTTCATATAAGAAGCATGCAAGACATTCACTATCTAATTGACAGATAAAATGGAAGTAGTGTCTAACATTTACCAACAGTATCAGATGGATAAATGATTGGGAAAGAGTGTAATTTATATCAAAAAGTCACGATTAATGAAAAATGTAAATGTGATGGAACAATAAACTTTCACACCACAAGACGTTACCTTCCAATCCGTTAAAAGAAGAGAGAGTTTCCTTAACTGCAATTCTAAGTCCACTCTCCTTAAGTTAAATTGACTAGGCACTTGTTCTGATTTTTCAAACCAAGCAAGATGAAATAGGTACAGAATGTAACTTGAAAGCGACAGATCCATACAGTCACATCTCGATAACAATTTCAAGTCGACATTTCCGGACCCATACATAAAAATCTCCGTGCCAAGGTAGATTTTAGAAAACTGAAATAGAGGCCAAGTTTGTGCGCCTTCTCCAGTAAATAGCTTCAACGTCCCATTCAAATTCTCCAAACAGACTGTCAGTTTTAGTGTTTTTCCACCAGCTACTAGTATTTCATTGTTTCTACTTTGAAGGCTAATGGAAAGAAAGCAAACATGATTACCACCAGGACCACTACAATACTCGTCCAGAGGGTGCTTGTTGAAAAAAGGGTGCCCCCCAAATGCGTCTTTCGCATTTCCGTTAACCAGTCCCGGAATATGAACAGAAAAGCCAACATGTTCTAGTGCTAAAGTAGGAAAGGCGGAAACATCGCTAATATTTAACGGCGCTTCATGATTTGGAGCATCAACTCCAGATTTAACATTATCAACTGGAATGCCAGATATATCTTCTGCTGAGGTGCTTGGTTGCAGCTTAGGAAGTTGCTTGGCAAGTGAACTAACTACATCTATAACCTCATTCCAGTCAGGTAAATGCAGCCACACATCCAAACATGGAAAGGACACAACTACTCGATTTTCACCATAATCTGTTACTGAAAATATTATGTCAAGAGCTGATGAACATGACCCGGGACAAGCGAACTCGGCAAGCACAACACAGTTCAGTGATGAAAATAGTGATAGAGATGAAAAAGAAATATTGATACAGTGAGGTTTGCCAGCCATCAATGATATAGAACACACAAAGTGCATCTCAGCCTCTGTCGTGGTCTCCGAAAAAATTGAGTCTCTTCGCAATTGATGCAATCTTAAAGATAAAGACTCCACACAAAATCTCATCTCAACATATGCCATATTTGACGTTGTAGGAACAAGTGCAGCATATCTCATCATTTGGTTGCTTGCTTGTAGAAAATGTGGAACATCAGAAGTGAAAAGTTTTGATTCTTCATCCAACAAGGAAAACCGATCAATGATATAACTCAATGTTCTGAAGCCAGTGATTGCACATACTTCTGTGAAACAATGACAGAACTAACTAACATTTAAAAAAAAAAAAAAGAAAAAAAAGGGCAATATTTTCATAAGAAAATAAAATAAATTCAAAATATCAAGTTCCCATACCTTCAATATCAACAAGACATTCATTGACCATAGCCATGATACAAACTGGAGAGGAAGCTAAACCGGACCCAGAATCATAGGGTATCCTCACCCACACATCTGCACTAAGTGACGCGACCAAACTAAGATTTCGCCATCTGTTCAAGGGATTGATCTCATTCGTTTCAAGTAATAAAACGGACAGTGATAGGTCACACCCTAAGAAATCTAAACACTGATTTCTACCAGAAAATTTGCCTGCATCAAAGCAGCAAGCAGAAGGTATACCCTTGGTTATAGAACTTCTGTTACTGTTCTCAAAGAAAGCAATGTGTAACTGTTTAATATCAGCCTTTAGAAACTCAGAGTAATCAGTGTTGGCTGGTGTAATTACATTACAATCAACTATCTCAAAATCATACTTGATAGTACCAGAGTTTTCAAAACTCATGGTGTCAAGATGGTCTGTTGCAAAAGGGCTCCAATCAGGTAGAGAAAAATAACCAATAAACATAGCTAGAAACTCAGAAGTCAACATGCAGGAAACCTGCTGGATGTGAAATCTGAATTCAACTTGGGAATTTGGTGAACCGGCATGCCTTTTCTTCATATGTAAGTTCAGAACAGGAGAGCAATTTGAAGATATGGGCCCCCAAAGATATTCACTGGATATGTGATTCCACCACGATGAAGAAAGGACCAAACCCTCTGTTGAACAAACAATGTCAAAAGAATCTTCATGAACTCTAAATATAAGTTTTGCTAAGGGCACCACCACAGTGCCTACAATGCATGAAGAATCATGGAAATGCATTGTGATGCTGCCAAGACTCAAATTGCCTAGAACCATTTCACCATTCATATATGTCCGTTCTGAAGAATCAGCATCAAATTTCGAATTCACGAGTGAAGCAGTTAAGATATCTGATCTCTCCATGATGCTCCTGTATTGTGTTTTCTGGTCTTCTGAATAGAATGATTTGCTCAATTTAAGCCCCACATCAACCATATTCTCAAGATTACAACAAGACCTGAGATTGTCAAACTGCGTGAAAGAAATGTGATTCAATGAAATATTTGATGACTCGTACGAGCCAATTTCACTTGAAGGAACATCATTCTTAAGGTCAAAACCATGTCTTGATGAGTTTTCTGATTCTATATCTGGAATTGTGCCATCAATATCAGAGTCTCTACTGACTCCTATTTTGTTAAAAAACCCAGCCAAGTGCCCAACAACAAATGGATAGCAATGGATATCAAGATCAGTTGCGTAAACTGTATACTTCTGAAGAAAACCACAACCAGTTCCAAGAATTTCAAAATGCATAAATATACACCCATCAACAGTTGAACTTCCCCCACCCAAATTTCCATTTCGGCCATCTAACTCGACACCATTGTTCTGCTGATGCTTAGTTTCAGACCCCAACATGCTTCTTGTTGAGCAAAGAACTTGGTTTCGCTGGTCATCTTTGGTAGAGGTAGAGGTAATCTGACATGTCTGCATAGAGACCCAGCATTTGGGAACATCACTATAATCAAACCTACAATAAAGTTGATAATTGTGAGGCNNNNAAAAGCATTTTACTCACAACCACCTTACATTATGTATGGCTTAGCCAATGCATAAAAACATCTTAAAAGCCATTCAAGAACTTACAAGCTCCACAAAAGTTCAAGAGTTTTTTCTGTTTAGTCATGAGATCCTCAAAATAATTTTTAAGAACATACAAATTGTTCAGGAAAAATAAAGAGATCTCAAATATTTACAAGGGATTCTTGTAGAACAACTAGAACAAATATTTAAAGAGAAATGAGCTATTACATCTGTTTATACCACGTGACAGCCAATAAAAGCTTTTAAATTAGCATACACTCAAATATGCAAACCTTTTCCTGGTAATGATATATAATACTTCACAATATACGTAACAGAAACAACTGCATTCACCTAAAAACAAGCGGTACATATATAATTGCTTGCAACAACTTGGCTTTGCAAAGAAATGAATTTCCAAGTAAATAATCATACAACAATCAAACACAGAATCTATAAACTATTGCAATTTACGAGACTAACAGCTTCTGAATTCCATCACTAAAGAGTTCAAATTTCTACATCTAATAAATGTGCAGTTTAATGAAGTGAATGTCTATTCAGAAATAAGAATTCAGATTTCCACAGTTATTTAACATGTAGATAGTTGATATGGGTACTTTACGATCGAATCAAAATTCAGAAGTGTCCTATAAAGGTGAAAAAGATTTCCTATCGACTAAAATACCATATACGGATGAAAGGGAACACTCAACCAAGAAAAGCAAAGAAGGAAGTGAGTCTGGAACCCAAAAACACAGATGAAACTCATTCACATATTTGTCAACAGCACAAGGTCATGGCTGAAACAAACTTTATTTTTTGGATAACTGCTTCAGATGTTTGTTAACGCCATTAATTTCCTATGAATTGCTTTGCGCCTTCTTGGTAATCCTAACAATGTCATAAAATATTTCAATTGTATTGAGCATTTGTTCTATGTACCTTATAATATCGACTCATGCTCTACAGTGCTACTTACCAAAGATTTTTCATTATAATTTTAAAGTAGAAGACCACAAAGGGGACTTCAATAAAAGAATGAGCAAAAGCGTACACATCACATTGAACTAACATTCCCAATTAATGGAAATGAAAAATGAAATGAAAATCATTACACCTTGAGGTATTACAAGGTGTGACCTGTACGACGGATGCATATGTTATGGGAAATTGTAATTTTGGAATTTAAAAGGGGGCATCTCCATATTACGGCTGGATCACTAGGGCAGTATTCGAATTCATCCCTATAAAATGCTGCAAGAATATCCAATCAAACTAACAATAACCATTATCCTATATTAGATTGAAAAGAACAAGTCCAGGCACCATAAATCCAAACTACCGAATACAATGTCTCTGTGAACCCATTGTGAACTTCAATTAGCTATTTTATGGAGAAGAATACTGTGACATACCTAACACCTAGCTTCTGACCACAGAAGTTCAAAGTGAAGTCATCAGCCACACTTTCTTCAAGATTAACTGTCAAGAAGATGATATCCAAATTGGCATGGATAGAGAACCATTTATATAGTGAGGTCTTCAATCCATTAGACTTGAGTTCCACTGAAGCTGTCGAGTCGGATGGAGGAAGATGTGTAATTAACTGTGAAATTAATCCCAAAATTTCTTCATAAATGGAGACTGAGGTGTGAACAGTTAGTGACGGCACATGCACATGAACCTGAGAAACCCAACAAACCAATTAAAATGAAAATTGAAAGAACATTGAGAGGATGTCTTTTAATTCAATATTTTCATTGTCCAACTCCCAACTTCACCATGCATTTGCTAGCTTGGTTTGAGACTTTGTCTGAAAATTGCTATGTAATTGAACACAGTCTTTATTTTCAGATCTATGGTACAGTATGCTTTGTTACACTGGAAACAAATTAGCTAAAGGTCGTAAGATTATTTACAAACAGCAACTAAAGAACAAATCCGGAACTGGGTGGGCTACAGATTTTTGGATCCAGTAAGTAAAATTACTTCTTCCAAGAACATTACTCTAATAGTCAATTTCTACGCTTTTTTATATTTGGTCTTCATCAGAAATAAAAGAACCAATTTAAAGTCTGTGCCAAGCCCTCCCCCTTAACCATAAGCACATATGCAGCTTTAATCAAGACAAAATGTCACAGCTGTGTATATTGTTACAATCTCCAAATGTAAAGGTTGCATTTGTCACAGATGTTTAAGACGCAAGGTGCACAGGGCCACATGAACCACGAGGTGCAAAACGCAGCACGAACCTTTCTCGAGTGAAAGGAAAAAAGAAATATAGATAGCAATTGAAAAAAGACGCAACATATGTTACAAACCTTAGGGTTTTGGACGTATGAATATGCACAAGTGAGGATAGCCACATATATATAGACTTAAGGCCTTAAGCAATATGGGCTGGGCCTATAATATATAGTTAACAACATAAACACGCATAACTTATTGCTATTCTTGACCCTGGTTCTGTTATTTAGCCCATTTCTTTTCACTTGAGCTCATGGTTAATAGATTTCCCAGCTTCTATCCCTCTACTTTACCATTCAAGTGAACCACAAACCATTTCAGGATAGAACTCCACAACTAACTTGTGTATGAACCGAAAACAACCTATTGTCACCTTTCAGTATACATTTCTATGAGAGGAAGCCTAAATATATTTTCATGGCAATTCAGTATTCGTTCAACAAAAGGTAAAAAATGGCTGCATATTGCAATAAAGAAGCTCTACTGATGATACAGTAAGCCATCATGGTCAAATATCTCAAAGTTACTCACTGCTACCACTTACCTCCAACTCTTTGAGGATTGGTTCATCAGGTAAAATACAGGATACCAAGCTCAAAGAGGCATTAAATTTCTCAACAAAAGGGGTAGTTGCAGAAGAAGGCATCATCAGTCTTATCTGCAAGAAATCACATTTAGAGCATAATCCAAGTCTACAAACACCAATCTGGAACGAACATAACTAATTACCTGCGCATCATTTATCTGGAAGTCAAAGTGATCATATAGATCCTGAAGCTGACACCCCCCTAGCATATCTTGAACAGAACCAAGACCGAGACCTATATATCTGCTCAAAAGATGAGACTTATCTCCCAGGTCAGAAGTAGAAGAATCTACTTCTGATTTGGATGTGATGGAAATAGCTGCAACTTCTATAACCTGTCAAATCAAAGTCACTAAGAACATGAGTAACAACCCTGCCTACCTATGTTAACCACGCAAACTAGTAAAGGAAAAACTAAAATGACATAAACAAATAAAATAACTAACTAAACAATGCAATTGTTTCTGCTGACCTAAAGCTACACTAAATGGGCTCTCAAAAACTCCCTAGCAACTGAGATGGACAGTCATATGCTTCATAGCTCAAATTATTAAAAGGCTAGTCATTATTACTAGTTGCAAAGAGCATAAGTGAGCTTTATACAAGAGAATATGTATACCATTTCTGGTTGATCAACAGGGTAAGTATTAAATACCCGCAAATCAAGGGCCGTATTTCATTTAGAGATTTGGTCGAGAACTTTAGAAAGAAAGTAGACATGAACAAATCTATAGTTGGATCATAATAAACTATTTATGAACGAAATCTTCAATTTTTTGAGAAGAAAACAAGAATCTAAGTTTACACATTGTTAAGTTACTGGGATGTTATTGTGTAAAAATGTTGGTCAGGTACCCTCTCACTTTAAGCTAACCTTCCAATAGGTTCTACTTAACTTATGTAACAAAGATAATTGGTTAAGGCGAGCTTCGATTAACGAATGAGGAAAATATCCAACACGGATCATAAACAAATTGGGATGATGTAGTTTTCATTATTCAAAATAAAAGGCATGAAATACACATACCATATTATGTGCTTTGACATCTTTCCATGGCATGTTTATGACAGTATTGAAAAGATTAACATCCCATATCATCTTTGTACGGCTTGATAAAAAAAAACTGCAACAAAAACCAAGATGATGAAACCTTACGCTCAAAAGGTAAATGATAATAAGAAATGTGTCCAAAATGTATACAAAGATATATATTGAGACCCGAAAGTGGAGCCATAATACACCCTTAAGGCATGAAACATACTCAATTTTTGATAGAAGTCGTGAGTTAAGGTCATTAATGTCATTTAGAGACAGCAGGATCTGCAAAACAAGATAAGTATGATGTGAAAACAATAACAACAGGGAATCACTTCGAATCCCCTTGCAAACCGAAGGATTATACATGTTGTAAGAGCAAAATACATGAGACATTCAGTTGCAACAAAGATTGACATTTGCCTATTGGCTTTCTTTGTGTTACATTCATTATTATAATGCATAGATAGCATAAAAGAAACGCATCAAGTTCCAGAGCCCGACAACCAAGGTGAAAAGAAGCAATGGTCTTGTCATGTAGTGGCAACTCAAGAATATGTTATAACTTACAGGAATAGTTGTTTTCTTCTAAACGTCAATTCAAAAAATAATGGATCACACAAAACATCAAGCAACAAAAGCATTAGTCAAATACTCTGAACAAGATAACATCATCATTAGTGATTGCACGACGCCTCTAGGTAACAAGAAGGGGAGTAGAGGAGATTCCTTTGGCCCGAGCATGGACCAGGTATCGCTTAAATAGATTTAAATTTGATATTATTTTGAGATATCATTCTCTCTCTTATTATACTGCATACATAGACTTGATCTATGGTCAATAAAATATTAATTAGGATAACGACTCAATAAATATCTACTTTAAAAATTAAAAGCTACAAACATTCCTATATACACTTGGTAAGTCTGGGGCCCAATCTGCAGCTAACTCACTATGCCTACATGTTGGTTTGGAACAAACATACCCAATTAATTTATGGGCTGATTTTGTAAATGGGTCAACGCACCAATCGTTGGGCCCATCTATATTGAGACCTCTTATCAAAGGAGCCTCCGCGGTCGACTCACTATGCCTACACAAAATTGATAGCTAATATAATGCTCTACAAGGGTCACAATTTAATTGGCCACAACTGTAATTTGATAATTTAGCGATCAATATAGCACACATCCGCTCAGTAGATGTCACTAGAGTTACCACGTGATTGAGTGAAGAGTGAAGGGAGAAAACAAATGGAATAATGGACATATCGATACTACTAATTAAGAAAATAATTGAGAATAACTCAGGACAAATCCTGCCCAACCTAAGACCTATACTTCCAGAAGAAACTTCTAGCTCAAGCTTAAAGACCACAATCCTATTCGATAAAGATAATCCTGAGTATCAAACAATAGTCTAGTTATATAGATTTTAGCCCTAAATATAATATAAACCTAATGACATTCTAAGGAAATGAACCAAAACTTAATTATTGAATTATAATGAAATAAAAATTGATATCACTGTGATGTCAATATCAACTCCCCATTAATTAATTTTCTTCTTGTATTCATCATTTGTATAGTTATATAGATTTTAGCCCTAAATATAATATAAACCTAATGACATTCTAAGGAAATGAACCAAAACTTAATTATTGAATTATAATGAAATAAAAATTGATATCACTGTGATGTCAATATCAACTCCCCATTAATTAATTTTCTTCTTGTATTCATCATTTGTATAATATATATATATACATTTTCACCAAAAACAACAAATACTACCACGTAGATGTAACTATTTAGAACACTATCATAAACACTGCTATAAAACGTAACACCTAGTCCTAATAAGAATCTTATTATCGTGCATCATAGACGTGAACATTTACACTCAAAATTTGATCTAGTATCTTGGCTTTTGAATAGTCGGTGACATAACATCTCTAGTGCTGAGTCAACATTTCAAAGTACATGAAGGCATAGTACAGAAGCCAATGTGAGGAGAAGAACACCTTATCATGGCCCAAGAAATTTATGAAAGTTCAAACAAATCTTGCTTTGGCGTTTCAAACTAGAAGGCCTAGTTGACATGTCTTGAAGCCCATAAACTTGTATCGGAAAACTTTAGGCAAGGTCAACATACGTGAAGGCCCAAATAAAACCTCACGAAGTTTCGTAGAAGTCAAGCCAAAGCTTATTGTTGAGCTGATATGTGTAGGAGATCAACATAGATACGGGGACATCGCAATAAAATCCTAATATGAAAGCAGGCAGGAATTGAAGATTCATGGAGGCTAAACCAAGAAGTTAATAAAGTCAAAATAGATAAGATGAGGTGATTGAAGATTAAATGACAAAATATGAAGCTTTGAAAGACTTGAACGGGGTGCGAGTATTGCACGAGGTCAAGCAAGATTGTTAAGTAAGCTGCGTAAAAGCTCGGCCTTAAGATGTTAGACAGGCAATATTGTTAAGTAGTCAGCAGAAAAGCTCAACCTTAAGAGGAAAGAAAGAAATGACTGGCCATTTAGATCTATATATTTACCATTTACCGATAAAAAAAAAAAAAGAAATGACTGGCCTGTGGGTCTAAAAACCTATGATTAGGCCTCGCTCTGATAGTAAGATGCCCAAAAGGTATAAACTATAAATTATACCCCACTGCTCAGCAAAGCACCTTGAGAAGGAGCTCAGAAATGATATTCTCAAGTGCTGATGCATGTACCACGAAGCACGGAAGTACCTAGCATGCTAAGGTTGCAATTGGAATAACAGCCAATGATTCAAAGAAATTTGTTTGCAAATCTCATGAAAACCCATTCATTACTCTCTTAAAAGTTTGTTCGCTTAAGAACACCTCCAACCAAGGGTTGTTTTGGAGGACTGCAGGCTAGCTCTTCCGTGAATCAAGCATCTATTATGGTGCGAGGTAGTGGAAACAACAATCAATTATTTAAAAAAATTCCTTTTTCAAGATAGTCAATCATGAACCAAATTATGTTCCAAGTTGAGCTATATGGCTCCTGTTTTTGCTGGCTTTCTTAAGATCAACCTAAGCCCATCATCACATGAGCAGTCAGCAGTGAGCCTATCAAACAAATATGTATGCCTGCATGCACACACACACACACACACACACATATATATGTAGAGGGAGAAAAAGAAAGAGAGAGAAGGGGGGAAGGGGGGGAGATATGGAGACTGGAGAGATTGAGAACGAAACAGAGCGATAACAATCACACATGTAAAGTTAAAAAGACAAGAAAAACAATTTTGTTGAGGAAATATTATACATAAACAGAAAGATACTGTTCATAAGCTTTAACAATTCCAATCAGCAGTTTCGGAACTCCCATAAAGATAATACTCCCTCCTATTTTTATTATTTGTCACTCTGGCTTAATTGATCATTGATTAAATAAATGTCGTTTTGGCTATTTTGTTCATATTTTTCCATTTTTAACCCTTCATCTAATACACCTTCATCTACCTTCATCTAATACACAGTGTCTCTTCATATCCCTTCTCCATCATTTCCCATAACATCCATTAAATAGGGTTAATATTGGCAAGAAAAAAAATTCTTAATTAGCGTGTTGCTTCTCAAAACAACAAATAATAAAAATAGGAGGGAGTATAACTTATAAGCACCAATTCCCAAGCTTGAGAGAGAAACAGAACTTTAAAAGAGGCTCACCCCGAGTCATGTCATAACATAATGGGTCGATTTGTGTTTGGTGCATCCTTAAACGCGATTTTGTTAAATGGAATTTAGATAAAGAACTGCACCAATACATATCATGCAGTGTGGAGGGGAAGAAGCTTAAGATTCAATCATAATGCAAACCTTAACTTAATTATTTGACATATATTAACACTTAAAAACTCAAATCAAATGCACATTCATAATATGTAAGAAAAAACACGAAAAAGAAAGTTTAAACATAGTAATCAAATTCTCACAAGAGAAAAATATAAAAAAATAAATAAATATATTCAGAAGACTACTCAACACATGAGAATAGAAAGATGTAAACCCATATGGAACATGCAAACAAGGGAACAAAATGGGAAAAAATGTAATATTACCCTATTCCTCTGAAAGCTGAAGTGTGGTATGACAAACAAGAAATCTGCAATATTCTTAACAAATACTGGATCACAACACAGTTCACTTGAACCAAGTACCACCTGAAATCAAAGCGGAAAGCCATGAACCCCCCAAACAAGGCAGATAACATATGAAAGCAAATGTATTTGAGCTATTGAAGGTATCAAAAACTAAGGGTCAACAGAAAACCTTCACAGAGGAACTTAAATCAGAACTTGAAGGGTAGAGATCAATTTTGATATTTAGAGAAGGCTCCTCCTTTGCAAGAACCTCATCCAAGGACTTGACCTACAAAACAAAGCCCGATATAGCATACTTATAATGCATATATGATGCAAACAAATCGCTGCAATGATGCACACTGATTCCGCTAGCTATTACTTAGAATATCATCCTACCATCTTAATAAAAATAAAGCATGCTGGGATGCTCTTATAACGCCCCAAACGTCTAACGACAAATTCAACATACTTATGTCACACATCAAGAGTGTCACATATGGAACTATTATATGGTTGTTGTGAGGAACACAACAAGTTACAAGCCATTTAAAATTGCAATAACCAGAAAATATAAGAAACCAATTTAGGACATTAAGTAAAAGCATACATACCTTTTTCGTGAACATAACAACTTGATTGTTAACAGGATCAAGCATCTGAGCAGAGTTGACCGAAACAATAATAGTTTCAGATTTCTCCCAGACCCTACCCTCGACGTAGATCCCTGTGAGCATCAAATCAACAATGGAACACCCCAGCTCCCTAAACCATATTTGAATAATCAGTATGAGCATAATACATACTGATAATCAGATCATGGATAATTTCCGGAAGAGAAAAGGAATAATAATAATTACAGAAGTCTTCCCAATGGTTGATTCCATTTTGCGTATTTCCATTACCTACTAGTTCAATTAATGAACATGCCGATGTTGTTAAATATTTTTCAAGAAAATCCCTCAAAATTTCTAAATTTATGCATAGTTGCAGCTTCTTGTAACTTCTTGAAGTGCCATAGATAACAAAAAGAAGACTGTAAGTTCGTAACTTGAGGAATATAATTGTAATTTATATACTTAAATGAAGTCTTTTGACATTTTTTCTCAATGGACAGTAAAAATTGACGAAATGAGCCAAATGCCATCAACCTTAAAACCACATCAACATCATCCTACAACTGATGATCCATATATTACTCTAAAGTAGTATCATGGCAACGAATAATAATGACTTCAAAAAATATAAATTTACTTCATAGGGATAATGCATTCTTAGGAGAAATATATCAAAGGTTCAACATTTCAGTAATAAAATCAGAGCCAAAATTAAATCAACAGAATTAATTGACCACAACTACATTTGGTTGCCATTATGATTATTTCCTTTTTCATGCCTTAAGCTATTTACTGAATCCTCTCACAATCCCCATCATTCACTGACGCATTTGATTTCCAGAGCACAGAAACAGTGCATCTCACAAACAGGGTATCAAAATGATACGACTGAAAGTTGCTTAGAGGATACTAGCAAAGTTAAATCTTTCACAAAATTTTATGTGCATGTACACCAAAGTGTTACGATGCTACTGCCATCAATATCAATTGGAACGACAAGAATGCAACTCCACAAAGAAAATCTCAACCCGATTAGTGACTCAGAACCTGATTCTATGAAATTCAAGTGCAACATATAGCAAAGATGTGTAGCAGATATGGTGTGTTATAGATATCGGCGGAGGACATAGCTGAGTCATAAAATAAAAATGATAAGCTTGTTATATTATAACTAAGATGAACATTTAAACCATGAGAAAAACATTAATGCCATGAAAAAAATAGCATAAGCCATAAGGTGTGGAAATGCAGGGACTACAAAGATGCACACTGTTTCTACAACAATCACATTCAGATGTATCATGGCACGCAACAAAAGTCAGTCTTCGCTTAACTAACTAACTTTCCCTTTCAGATTTATAATGAATATCAGGATCAAATAACTGGGTATGCTGGTCTTTTGTAGAACATCTGTGCTTTGTCACTTTGTCAGTACAGCTGGACTACGTTTATGTCTATATTCAGATTGCTTAATTTTAAGAAGACACTTCACAAGACATATACTCATACCACACACTCTCCCCAAACAACATGCATGAATCCTGGGATCGGTTGTCAGACTAATACTGAACCTGGCCACCACCAAAATAGTTCTTATACAAAAGAATCACTTTAAAAACTAAGCAAATTCTGTGAACATTGCCCTTCAGCCCCAACTTCTTAATTCACACCCCAACTTCTTACTTTAAACGTAAACTACCGATAAAAGCAATCACTAGCCTCTACATTACAATAACCCATATACGGCACAATGTATACACTTTAGAAGGCATATTAACTCTGGGCACCATCAACATAACTTTTAAGAAAAAATAACCACTTCAACATAAACAGTGACAACCTAAAATATCGCCAATTCCGTACAATGTTTCCTATAGACAACTTCTTACTTTACAAGCCAACAACCTATCCAAGCAGACAATGAGACCATGTAAAAATCCAAAATCTAGCATTCCCCCGCACGCTACATAATGAATTGCGAATGTACTTCAGCAAGCTAAAGTACACTTCCCCATAGCCTGATTTTTCCATGATTTTAGAAGAGCTAAAGAAAGTCAAGCCTTGCTCCAATTTGATGCCAAATCTAAAGAACTAATACATAAAAGTTCTAATAAAATATCAATCATAAAAATGTACAACCAGAGTCTCAGAATGATTAGCTTACATGCTCCAGAACGTGGTGCGAATTTCGGATATGTTGATTTTTAGAGAAGAAAAGTAAACTTCATCCATCATCGCAGAATCTCCAACTAGTACAGCAGCAGGATTGAATTTTGTTGCCTCGTATATATCCTACACATAGAAAATCCAAGGTTTTCAGAACCAATAATTATAATGCAGTGATAACCATCTACCACTTTTACAGAATCATGAATGCTTGAGAAAATCCAAATAAACAAATGCATGCATACCTTGATGACATCATCCGAAATTACACCAGAAAACCTATCAGAATCATCAGTTCCTCCAGCTCCAAGCATCCCATAAGATAACCAATTCAACCAGCTTCGTGGCTTACTAGTAGGACGATCATCTCCCTCAGACTTGTCAATATTTCCACAATTGGTCCCATACCTCGTTGATGAGTTTACCAAAAAATCCTAATCAAAGAAAATGTACACTAAGTCCTCATCAAATAAGAAGTAACCATGCATATTTTTTCAGTTGATTTTATAGGGTAGCAGCTAGAATTAGACAGAGAATAGAATAGCATAAGTTTCCCGCCAGATCAAGTAGGCAAGGTGATCGCAAAGGTTCTATTACAAGAAGCTAAATGCATAAGATTTACGATGTGGACTAGGAAAAACATATTTAGGAGAATTTTCACCTCTAGTTCCCGTTCAGCGACAGATCTGTAACTCAAAATGTCATCTATATCAGTTTCTTTCTCCATTTCCTCTAACTCATGCTGAATATCTTCCTCTATTACCTGATAAAGATGATATATGTATGAGAGAGAGAGAGAGATGAACATGGACCAAAATAGTGAAATAAGGATTAGAAAGAGCAAAATCTGCACTATGTTCCTCAGTAATTCCTTCAAAAAAAACATGTTCTGTTTAGTTATTATTGGATGTAAATTAATAAATTTCCTAGATAATATTTTGAAATGATTCTCATGTAAAGCACTTAGACAAGTGAATTAGAACAAAGTTTTTTCGTTTGAAAATAAGATATAAACTGTTTGGAAATACACACTGAAAAGGCAAATCAAGCCCAACAGCCCAATATAGTCCCATAGATTCGTCTTTTCCTTAAATAATATGTTCCCCAACTATATGTGGTGTACTCCATAGTCATACAATTCAACACAATGAAATTACCATCAAATACATCATGGTATATAAAGCCACCATAAAGATTCTGCGATACGTGTATTCTTTTTTTTCCTAGTTTTGCGTACAACAGAGAAGACTCTTGAGGGACACCCTACTTAGTGTTATTCTAAGTTGACCAATCTAGGGCAAATTTCTGACCTCACCACCCACCCCAGGAGACTCGCCGCCAGCTGCCGAGCTGCCAATCGACCCTCGGCTAAAATCCGGCAGCCCAAATCTCTGCATGTGAAACCAGCACAGTGCCAGTGTGTTTCCCCATCTGTACCACACGCAAGCGCGTGAAAGCACATCTGGCCGAAAATTTTTCAACTAAAGAACAATTTTTTTTTAAATGTTTCTCACATTTTATTTCAATCCATTTCTCGGTTGTCTTATTCATTCCCAGACATTAAACACATCTATGTCTATGATTTGAATTTGGTTCTTGACAATAAAATTTCAGAAGTATGTATGGCTTGTGCATGTGTGTGTGTCTTCAACTAATGAAAACCATCTCACCTGATCATGTCTGAGGCATTTCAACTTGGCCTTGTACAAGTTCACATACTTCCGACGAGTGCTTCTGTCATCCGAAGATTAATAATTGGACATCTATATCAAAATGAGGATATAACTGCAGCTTCAAAATTACAAGCATAATGTTGGTCTGTCACAAAATGGCAGACATAATTGACCACATAAAAAATCACACAAAAGAAAGGAATAAAGTATATGAAATTTCCCATACATTAAACCTCCCCTTTTTCCTCCTCCTTTCTTACTTGGGAGCTTCGTCATGTTGATTGATACAGTATCCTAGTTCAAATTTTGCTAAAATTTAAGCCGTCGACAAATAGTTAATGATGTATCTAATTTATATTTGAAATAGATTCTGATGAGAAAGGCTATGCAACTGGTGTTTAAACAGATGATCTATTTGTTTTGCTTCTCCCTGGAATCAACTTTGTAGTTTATACATCACAATCTCATGTCAAACAAAAGAGAGGCAAAGGGAGGAAACGATGATTGACTAGTAGTGTTCAGCCAAATAATAAACAATTAAAGAGAAAAGAGTACTCAAACTCCATGACAACAAATAATAATCTATTTACTATATAATGAGACAACTCATTCGAAATTTAGTAAGTTGTCTTTTGCGGGTCCCACCATCTACTTTCTATTTTTGGAAAGTAGATTTTTATAGCATGGGGTCACAATAATATTTTTATTTAATATTTTTTTATTTATTTGTACGAAAATTAATCTATTAGAAAAATGTTTCAAGATATGGAAAGAGGTAGATTTATTTTGGTACTATTTTTGGAAAGTATAATCCTTATGTGAATTCCATTTTTAAATTGCGTTTGTTGGGTTTTTTATATATTATTTGTTGTACATAACATACATCTTTTGCTATAAATTTTTTATATAGAACTCTAAGTTTACATTTCATAATTTCACGCTCTCATTTGTGAAATTGTGGTTTGTAGTCAATATTATTTCCTATATTATTCTTACAATTCATGAATTAAGATTTCATGATTCTAAGGTATATATGTGTCAAGCCTCTATAAACGATTAGTTATTCTTCAGAAAAATAAGAGTAACGCGTGCACAAAGGAGTAGTGAATATGCTATAAATTATGTTATTTAACAATTAAGTATGGTAAGAACTATTTAAAATAATTATCTAATAAATCAACATATAAATGCTGATAGATTAATGTACAAACTTAAAGTCAAAAAATACAAACCACAATATCTTCTTGGAACACAAAAAATATATTTACATAAAACAAAAATGATTCAAATTCATGTATATTATATATTAATTTTCTAATTTTTAGTTTCTTTTAACTGTTGTTTTGTACCCGCAGTAATTAGACATTAAAATACAATAAGTGAAAAAAGTTAATAATTTATTGATTAAGTTTGTTGGTTTTGTTTAGTGGGATCGTTTTAGTGGGTTGCTACACAATTATCAGTTATTATCGTGCTAAAAGAAGTCAAAAGCAAAGTACAGGAGATACATATTTACTTAGAATTTAGTAAACAGAAATTAAGAATATGTTGCCATGTATATGGTGTATATGGTGCACGCATACAATTTCCTTCTCAATTATACAAACATAGAGGTTTGTTAGGATTAGATTTAATTTTTTAAATCAAATTTGAGTTCCTATATTAAAAATGAATTAGATGGTGTCATCCAAATCTTTTATTTATTATTTTCCTTTCATCAAATCTACTATTATTCCAATCTGCAAATGATAATATATATTAACTATATATAATTAGGCAGTCCATACCAAATATAGTAAGTCTTGGGTCCCATGATATACTTTCCATTTATAGGTTTTGTACATGTGAGCATGAGTGAAAGTTGTTCTTTAAATTTTTCCTTATTTCTATCAAGATACCTCACTCAATTAAAATAAATTATCATAATTCTTTTCAAATAAAACATTAGTTTTTATAAAACATATACTTTTTAAATAAAAGAATCATAGTTTTAATTACACCTAACTATGTTGTATTGTTGCACTCAGTTATAACTAAATATATATGATATATATTTCTACAATAGTAATTACTAAAGCAATTAAGTATTTATAAGAATTCATGCCAATAAAAATTAATTTCAATATTTTTCAATCCCATGGAGTGTGGAATTATGTTTGTATAGGTGACTTTTATGCAAAAAAACAAAAATATAAAAAAACTTAAATTCTTATACAAAAAATATTGGGACAGAAAAATAAAACAATTGAAACTTATAGATAGTGTAGACATATAATTAAAAAAAAAAAATGTGCAAGTTATCTGTTGTATAAATGTGCAACACATTATATTATGTTACGGTTGGGAGGCGTGTTCATCAGTTATTTTATTTTATTTTTTTATTTTTTTTGTTTACACATGGTCATCTCAACATAAATTTCAAATTGCATCAAATCATTTTAAAATCTATATCTATATTTATATAAAAATGTTTGTATTTACTATAGAAAGTACTAATTTTCGGCCAAAATGAATTATTGATACTTAACAAGGAAAGTTTTTGAAATATTTTTTTCTATATCCTTTTGGTAAAAAATTCTTTATTGTCCATGGTAAGACTTTTATTTTTATTGTAGATAATATGATGCAATAATTGATCGAAATCTAATATTGAACTTTCCAACAAATTTAAATCAATTATTTTATTTCTACCTAATCAATTTAATTTTTATTTTTAGTCATGTGAATCAATAATTTGAGAATAGTAATTATTTCTATGGGATAGCAAGATTACTGAGATTGCATATATTATATAGCAAGATTATATACAAGCGAAGCCTTTTTAAAAGCAAATATGATGGGTGCAAAAACAAACTTACAGCCTTTCTCCAAAGTACTTCCAAGATGTTCTTCTCAACCTCCTCCGAACATCAGAAAGAACAGACTCTTGAGCGTAGTTCCACCATGCCTTTTGCCATCCCTTGAGCTTTTTCTCTAAAGGGCTCCACCAAGGACGATATCGGCCATATCTTACCATGGAAAAACAGAAAACCAGATCAGCACAGTTCCACTACAACAGGTCAGTACACGTACAACTCATAACATCGAAATATAATAGTGAAAAGGGGAACGGATAAAATTGAGAACAAACATTGATGAAAAGGGAAATAATGAGCATATTCTCATAGAATCAAGAGCATAACAATAGGCAGCCTATTAGCGGAACAACAATGACGAAAAGAAAATATCTTTTTGCAATTGTAAAGAGCACATGAAAGGAATGTACCAAATGATAAGGTACAAGGTTCAATAGGCCCGAATTGATATCACTTGATACACATGCTCGTGGTGAGCAACATGTGTGTGTGAGTGTGTGTATATACATGCAAAACGGTTATCATACATACTAGTTTATACAAGGTGGGTTGTTCATGGAAAGGGAAGGTGTTAAGAGAACGAAGCTGCAAAAGGTACTCCAAGAACCTTCATGAGGCAGCAAAGGGGACATGTTGTCGCAAAATGGTAAGGACATAGCGAGGAGATGATCATTTGAAGCTTCATGAGTCGGTGAGTTTGGATAGTGCCAGATAGCAAAGGCGAGAGGCAGTTAAATGGAGCAGGATTGTGGAATAGAAATGATAATGCGAGCTAAAAACATGATAGCCATGTCTGGAAGTTAGATGTTCAACAAAAAGTAGGGGTTTGGACTCAATTTAATCAATCAACCAATCCCATAAGGATGTTTTATAAATAAAGCTTCCATCTTAAGCAAACCTAATTGAAAATTGGATTTTAGAGACATTTTAAGAGAAAAAATTGTAAAACTTAAGATTGAAGGTCAGTTTTGTNAAATTGGAAACCTAAATTAGAAACATGAGGAATTCGTCTATAATAATACTTTAAGATAATGACTAATCATTTATTTTTTCTTAAAATGTTATTTTAATTACTCAATCAATTCACCACATAAATCTATGTCAGTGACAAAATACTATTAAACAAGAAATTGTCCCAATGTTCCTGTTTGTGATTATACTAGCCAACAACTTCAGGCATCAGTTATTTATGGAACACTTTCATACAAAGAACTAATATAATCACACAGTTAGATAGCTAGATAGCTAGCTCATAGAAATAGAATCAACTATCTAACTATCTGCTAACTGCCCAACAAAGTCATTATGTGTACAATAATACATTAACTAAACTATACCTTTACCTTTACTGGTTAGGAACTAAAATATTAATGCTGGTTATATCTTTTTCCATCGAGTTCCGTGGAATCTCTGCCATCCATGTCTTGCCACACAAGGCGGTGGATTCAGCTTGGAACATTGAGGGGATGCTTGGATATATTTTGATTTTGTTTGGATTTTTTGGTTTGGTATGGTTAATTTTGAAAAAAAGGTGGTATGGTTAGTTATTGGTGGAATTTTGATTTTATATTAAAATAATATTTAAAATAAAATAATTAAAGTTGATTTCATGTAAAAGTAGGGAATAGATGATGTGAAATGATGGTTAATTAAAATTATGTGAGTGGATAACTAGTGAATTAAAGCTAATGTATTGTGTAAGAATGATTGAGTAGTATTATTTAATTATATTGATAATACGGGGGTTGAGTTAAAGTTAGATTTGAGTTAAAAAAGTAATTGGTTTAAAATGATTAGAATTTTTTGGAAAAACTTGTATCCAAGCATCCCTGAGATTCTCATTTCATTAAATGCAAAGCACTATTTCTATAAACAATACACAAAGGATGCAATTAGCTTATGGAAGGCGAGCCTTGGATGACTAGGAAATATTTTTTGATTGACCTTATGGAGACAATCCAATCGCTAATCCCTACAAGATGAATTTGGCAGTGCGTGGCATGCGTCTTTGGGTTAAACCTCTAAACATCTTGTTATGAACTGCTCAATGGTGGTGACTCGAAGATGGTGATCGTCCTTCTACTGTTGCAAGCTTAAGGAAAGAGGATGAACTAGCTTATCGAATGCGAGCCCTAGATGACTAGGAAATAATTTTTTGATTGGCATTATGGAGACAATCAAATAGCTAATCCCTATAAGATGAATTTGCCGGCGTGTGGCATGGGTCTTGGGCTAAACCCCTAAACATCTTGTAATGAACTGGCCGCTCAAAGATGGTGACAGTCCTTACTTCTAATTCTAATGCTGCAAGCTTGAGGAACATATGTTATTGTATTTTGATAACCAGATAACTAGGGAAAAAGAAAAAACACAATACAACATGATCAAATGATATTGAGGTGTTAATTGCAAAATATATTAATTAATTTTAACTTTTAAATTTATTATATTTATTGTTGTACAAATAATTAACTTACTTTTAATTCTATAATTCTAAATCTTACTATATTGTCTTTTGTTATAAATATATGAATATTTATATATCATTTTTATATTTATGTGAGCAATAATATATGAATATTTATATAATATTTGTGAGAACATGTTTAATTAATATTTATATTATTTATATATTTAATTTTTAATACAACCTTAATACACGTGCCACATAGTAGTAGTTGTTGTCGCTATGGGTCAATTTACACCATCAATCCGCTATCAACATTTAGTTATTTTTTACCAAGCACTTTTCTTCAACTAGTTAACGCAATCCGTTTTTCCAACCAGCTAACTCATATACAATGAGTGGATGCTAATAGGGTCAAAATATTTGTATATGAATTTGTAAACAAACCCCCTAAACAAAAGGATAGAATATGAAATCAAGATTCCACTCGCAATTTTCATGTTGATTCTACAACTTAGAGGTGGAATAAAAAATTCCAACTCTTCACCAAAGCTCAGCAGCAATCTACCTTATGTTTCCGAGTTTTAAATTACATCATAAGCCTCCAACCTTTCAAACAAAACATGTGTGTTTTGAGAGCAGCTATGGTCAAGTTTTATAAAAAGCACAACACTATAAGAAGTTAAATGCTAAAGAGAGCATAGCATTACAAGAAACTTACTTCTCCCTTAGTCGAGACAAAGAAACATAATCGCAAAGAGACAAAATTTGTTGCAACTGAACCTCGTTCATTGAGGCACCCTAAAAATCAGAGACGAAAGACATTTACCAACAAGATATTTTGCAATACTGATAACAATAAATTACACCAAGAAAAAAGGCGAAAGCAATATACCAGGCAACCTAGCTCAGCATTGATAGTATACTGTGGAGCGTCATCTAATAGCTTTCCTGATCTTTTTACCTACATTAAATAGCAGAAAGCTCAAGTGAATTGATATAATTAGTAAATCATCGTAATAAATAATGATGGAATAATGCATTGTGATCTCTAAACACATTATTATTTATATTAGTCCAATTACAGTAATACAAATCAGTGATTCATCATTCATCCACCAATGCAAATTATGCGTATTTAAGGTCATACTAAGTGATGCACCTAGAGCCGTCAAAACAGGCTCAGGCCCACGGGCAAGCCTGGCCCGTCCCACCAAAGGGCGATTTGGGCTGAGATACTTATCTTCCTTCATTGCCTTTTTCCAATATAAGTGCTGGTCTAGAGTATTTAAGGAGATGGGTACACCGTACAACAAATGTCAATGTTGAACTGTTCATGGGTAATGCCATCGCTTTAATGCATAAACTTTGCAGGTCGCTTTCGTCGAAAAGAATGTACAAATATAATACAATAGAGGAGATTTAAACGAGAGCATTTAGGAGAGTGATAATGCATAAACTTTGTTGTTCACTTTCATAGGAAGAATGTAAATATATAATACAATAGAGGAGAATCTAAAAGAGGGTTTGTGGAATATTTAAGTTTAGGGCTGCTTGGTGGGTCTCAAACCAAAAGGAGGTAATAGATTTTTTTGGTGAATATAGTTAATATGAGCTGTATTTGGTAGTCGTCCTTTTCTCCTGTATGGGAATCCCTGTTCTTTTTTTTACTAACTAAATATATTTTTGTTTCTTCTCAAAACTGGGAAAGAAAGAAAGAACAGAAACCAATGTACATAACATTCTTTTGTAGAATAGAATAGTAGCAAAACATGCTTACCGACAGAGACACTGATACATTCAATGGGGCTAACATAGAGAAATACTTGGTATCTTCGAGATTCTCTTTTTCTGTACTCTTGAAAGCGTCGGCATTCTCTGTATGCGATTTATTGTTTGCATTAAGGATATCGCAATACAGCTCTAAACTCTGAACTTCAATTAATTTGTTGACTTGACCCCTTCTAACATTTGCAGTTGAAGGTCTGAAAGATCACACAAATATTCACATGAAAAACATGGAACCGAACTAAAAATGTAACCTAATATCAATTCCCATCTTTCAGGTATCAAAGAAAGTGTGCTCTAAAGTTGGGAATAAACATTTAATACTGCTGATCGAAATTGGGCTGGCTTGTAGAGCAATACAATGGCTTCTATTCAGTTAGATGCTAAGTTCTTTACGTTACACTATGAGCACAAAGTAAACAACATAAACTAGAAGACACTGCCCACAAACCTACCAATGATTGCTATCAATTAACTGATATGCTTAATCACTCACTAGACAGAGAATTTGGTGCATGACTGATAACATCAGCTCACGATTTTTAAAACGCATTATCATTTAACATGACACTAAAAATCAATAATACAACAGAAAATATATGTTAAATTCTTATAGATTTTTACAGCTGAAGAAAACAAAAGGCTTTTAGAAGAAAAACTATCCAGAACTTGGTTTAATTGTTTTTCATTTGTTGCTTTTGGTCTGTATGTCAAAAGTTCTCAGAACTTTAAAGTTGAGATACAATCTGGGAGTCCGAATAGTTCTATAATTCAACAACACTTCGTTCTCGACTTGAGGGCCTTGTCATCCAAAAACTTACACTTAATCTAATCTACAATGAAAATATCAACATCAAGATGACAAGAATACGTATCCCACATTTGGCTTCTGAAAGAGTAAAAAAACAAGAAAAGAGTTTTCCCATCTCTAGGACCTTGTCCTCAAATATTATATTTATCAGATATACAATGATAAATTTTCTGTTTCCAACATGTAAATCATGTGTCCATTGCAAATGGAGCTGGCAGAGTCATTGTTGACAATTCTCCTGGCATAGTGCTAATAATGGACTAGATCAAAATGGCTCAATTAAATTCTAGTGCTTCTTCTATTAGTGAAGTTTCTAGAAAAAAAATATATATATATCAAACGGCGCAATACACCTTGGGTCGCTACGGAAACAGCATCCTTGTATAATTACAAGGGTAAGGTCTGCGTACAACTGACCCCCCAGACCCCAACCTGTTGGGAATATACTGGGTATGTTGTTGTTGTTGCAACATGTAAATCATATTTCACAACAATAAATTTGTGAACCAACCTGTGTTGAACACAACACTTACCCTCTACAATCTACAATGATGAAGAATAAAGCATGTTTGGCACATGTAATGAAAAAAAAAAAACAGAAAAAAAGAAACAAAAGAGCACTTAAATAAACATAAGATTTAATGTCGGGAAGAAGAAATACCCAAAAGCAGTTTGCCTCAATATTGTCAAACTTGAAAACTTCACACCAAATAAAATATCTTCCTGAAAAATTATCAGATCAACAAATACTCGTTACAATTTTGAACACATGCCAGCAAATAAGAAACAGAACATTCTGAAGATAAATCTAGTCTACATCATAATACTTCGATGATAGGTATTCATCTCATGGTAGCTAATTACCCTATTATATTATAAAAATTAAAGAATCAAAGATACCATCCTAAATAGTAATTCTCAACTAAACTTAAGAGCTGTCTTCCAGACCATCAACGTGCAATAACTTTGTTTTGACATTATTTTCTTGTTGGTTTATCAGACCATCAGCCACAAAAATACTTCGTTGAACATAAGTTCATGAACATCATAAATTAAACAAGTCATAAGACGACCCATTCAGCAGGATAGTTGAGTCGAGCCACGTCCAAAACAATTTAAGCATGTGTGAAATTGATCGTCTTTTTCTATGATTTAGAAGTCCACTCATTATAATGTAAACTCCTTAATCAAATTACCCAGATTACTATTACGTACTAGCTATGCAACGGAGAGCTTCATAAGAAACAGGAGAGTGGTGTGATAGGACAGATGCAGAGAAATAAAGAACAAGATAAGTGGTGGGGGTTGGGGGTGACTTGAGCAGTTGGTGGGATATGTCACACATCAACTGGACCTTAAAATAAGCATTTCAAAATGGTATTCTGCGATTCCCGTGTTTGTATTTGGTATTTCAGGCAATTGGATCTGAATGTGAAATGAAACGAAACAAGGCAAAATCAATACTACTAATATTGATTGGACCAAGTGCCAGTAGTAACAGATAGAAGCATGTCCGTGATAAGAAAATATTATCTCCTTCAAAAAATATGTATACATTAAAAGTACATCAAACAAGAATCAATTTCCTCGACTGAGTTTGTCACTGAATTGATATGAATCCTAGTTCACGTAAAAATGTTGAAGCATACACCTCTTCCATATGCAAAAAATACCAAATTATAAGCATAGCTAAAAATATCAATTTATAAGCACATGCTATATTTCACATAGGCAAACGAGCACGCAGGCCCCAATAGGAACAATAGCATGGTATTCCTTCAGTCAAACTGAAATATGTACAGTCGACATTCAGTACCCCGAATAATTAAGTCATCCGATACACTAACAGCACATCTGATCAACTATTAACATAACATAAAATCCTACATAGAGGAGGATACTCCTGTTTTGACTCTATAAACCAGTCAGTTAAATATCAATGTTCACAGCAAATTTTATGACTGCAACAATTAACAGGACCAACTAGCAAGTGCAACTTTAGTGATAAGCACAAACAGCATCATGATTCTTAGCATTGGTATTTTGATACCGCACCCAAGCATGTTCAGAATAATATCATATTCATTTTTCAAGGGAAAAAATTTTACATGGTCACTTTGATGCAGGCAGAAACTTAACAAAAGAACAACTAAGACTAAGTATGATCTTCGCAAAGAGCATAAATAACATGGAAAAAGAGAATACTCTCAAATATTCATATCAATATTCCACCACTTCAAAGATGAACAAATTACAAATAAACCCCTTTATAATTGGAGTTTGGATACTTCCTACTCAAATAAAAGATCCTAAAATCACTATTCAAAATAAAAGATATTATCAAACCCTAAAAGTGTAATATAATGACACATTCAATCTAATCTAGAAAATATCTTAAAATCTATTATACATTTATTATTATTATATATCTTCAATCATTCCCACTGGGGTCGAAACAATTCGCCCTCGAATCAGAAGGGAGATTGTCGTCAAAAAATATTATCACCATGGAGGAGCACGAGGAGGACAAATAAGAAAACATCTTTGATTGTTGGTTTGTCAGTCATATAAATGGTCTTGGCTGTTGTCTTGCCTAACTTGTCTACGAATATCAACTGTTGCAAGCCAAGTAATGATATTATTAAGAAATTGGCTCCACATAGGCTTTGTAACCAAATCCTCGCCATTAGCTTTAGGAAATTGCGAGAAAACGAATCTTTGCTGGTCTAATTTCTCAACCATAAATCTCAACAAAATAATTGGTGAATGAATATATCCAGCATGACCGACTAGCAAACCCAAAGTAAAAATGGAATCGTGACTTGCTTCCTCAAAAATTGGCTCATCGAATATTAGTTGTCTATCATATCAACCATCTTTCTCATATTCAAGAGGTTTTTCATTTTAAACAAAGGGGGTTAAAAAGGTTTTCTAAAACCATTGATTTCCTCATCAAAAGAATCAGGGTACAACATGGAGTCCACGCCATTGATTTCAAATATCCATATCAATATTCCACAACCTTCTAAGATAAATTAATAAATCCTTTTAAAATCGGGGTATGATACTTCCTACAGGACCCACACAAACAGAAAGATCTTGAAAATCAATAACTGGATATTAAAGATAACAAAATTTATTTAACTTAGTCTAGAAAATCTTAAAATCTAATCTAGAAAATATTAAAATTTATTATGTATATATCACACTTGCACCAACTGTTGTGATATACTTCTTTTGACGTTCAAAGGCAAAAGATTCAGAAATGCCTGTCTATGCCTATTAATCCCAACCATTATAGTTTAGTCCTCAATCAAAGCTTCTTATGTACAAAATAAAGTCAGAACCATTTTCAGCCTCTTCATCTCATCAACCAGAATCATGAATATAACAATGTAATGACGGAGGACCAAAGTGGCCAAACTGTGCCAGTGCTGTTGCGCCTATGGTGCAAGCTGACCTCCCTTGGAATGAAATGAACAGCAGCCATACGATGAACGACAAAATAGATGGTTTCCGGTATTTTGTTTATTCTTTTTGTTCACATAATTTCCATTTTTACCTTCCTTTTCTATACGCCCACAGTCCATAGGCATAAAGAAAGTCCATACTTGGTAACGCTGCAAATGGAAAGTATTGACTAGAGTTTTGAGACACTTTCAGATGCTGTAAAGTAAATTATATCCACTCCTATGGCACGATTATTCAAGCTTAACAATAAGACTATCCATACAGTAATTTGTCAAAAACATTTCCAGTATTCTAAAATCTGCCAGATTCTAAAATATACGGCCCTAAGCTGTCAAGCATTAAACAAGGGTGCCCATGAACCTCTTTTAGCTATTAATTACAATTGTATATATCTGCTCCTACCAAGTAAGAAAGAGTAAAATGCTTACAAGATATAAAGTCTTTCAGCAAATGTACATTTTTATGCAGATAATTTGAAGTAAAAATGGAAAATTAAGCAAATAATATTAACCATCGAGTTTTTCAGAACAAATCATACCGTTGCACTAAGCGTGTCTCGGTAGAGGATGTGAACATTCCGGATGGACACTTGAATGCTATCAAGAATCTTGGAGAAAAAACAGAGCAGATGGAGAGAATAAGAATGGGGTAATAAATAAAGTAATCAACCACACAAGCTTTCAATTTATTCTGTTTGTAAAAGAAAATAATATCACTTGAATGCTATCAAGAATCTTGGAGAAAAAACAGAGCAGATGGAGAGAATAAGAATGGGGTAATAAATAAAGTAATCAACCACACAAGCTTTCAATTTATTCTGTTTGTAAAAGAAAATAATATCACTTGAATGCTATCAAGAATCTTGGAGAAAAAACAGAGCAGATGGAGAGAATAAGAATGGGGTAATAAATAAAGTAATCAACCACACAAGCTTTCAATTTATTCTGTTTGTAAAAGAAAATAATATCACTTGAATGCTATCAAGAATCTTGGAGAAAAAACAGAGCAGATGGAGAGAATAAGAATGGGGTAATAAATAAAGTAATCAACCACACAAGCTTTCAATTTATTCTGTTTGTAAAAGAAAATAATAATAATAATAATAATAATAATAATAATAATAATAATAATAATAATAATAATAATAATAATCATAATAATCATAATAATAATAATGTATCTTTATTCCCATTCAAGGCACAACAAAAAATGTACAAAAGCCATTGCTCAGTAAATAAAATGTTACTTTAGCCAACTCCTCATGGAGTGCTAATTTTGCGGATTAAGGTTACTCATAGTAGTTATTAGACTGGAGGTAAGAGAATCTGACAAGCAGTGAACGGAGCATAAGAGAGCGCAACTAGAAAGTACTGAATCTTTGATGAGAACCGTAAAACAGACTAGAACGAGGTTGGAGGACTACACTTATAGAAACTCAGGACATAATTGAATGCAGTGAATTGGAGAACCAACTTTAGATAATATCATCAAATGCAGAGAGTTGGAGAAGCAACTTCAGAGTGAACAGGGAATGGGTGAAAGACAAGTGACAATATATTACCTTTGCAGTGATGTATGAAATAAAAGATTTTCCAGCCTGATTACCTGAAAAAAAAAATAAAAAAAAAAAAGACCATTCATGATCAACAAGAAAGTAAAATCCCACCCATTCACTGAACCCAAACCTATTAACGACTCGACTAATAAATGATTAAGAAAAATGATGCTAAAATCAGCCGTGCACTTCATCTGCATTAATGCATTACCGGCCAGGATCAAAAAGAGGCATGTGACAGAACACGAAAAGGAATAATATAATATTCATAATGTCATGTAAGTTGTAACTTAGGTAGACTAGCAAAACAATTTATATCCACCTAGACACAGTTCAGTGTGACAGAGGTCTGCTCATAAAACCAAAACATACATTAACTTAGATGGTTCATGGAAGAAAGGGCTGCCTCAAACAAACAAAAGAAACAATCTTTTAGTTAGACACTAAAAGAAAGAAACACAGAGGAGATGGCCCATAGATCCAAGTATAAGCAAAGACTAGTAGACATTGTTACTAATAGAAAAATCAAATTCAACATATCATTTTATATATTATGTTTATAAACAATGAGCTTCTCTGATTCAAATATGACAGATGGCAATGGTGCAGGCAAGCATTTGAGGAAATAATGATGGTTGATGATTATAAAGTTTTCGACAAACTCAATACTGGCAGCCAGTATTGCTTGACCAGTTGCATCACCATTTCTAAGACAAATGTAACTTTCAATAACTAGATGATACTCAAACGAGATAGATTCCGTAAGCCATACCAGAAAATAATGATTAGCAAATGCTCACCACATACTCTCCTCGATAACTTTGCAAGTTCTGCTGCAGCAAGTTGAGCCTTTTTGCTAGCGTGCTCTCTTCTGTCAATGGCATCCACAGACCACTATCCACCCACAGGGGAAGAAAAAAAATGAAAACAGAACACTAAGAGGATGCTTGGATACAAAAATTCTCAAAAAAAAATCCACACTTTTAACTCAACCACCCTATCGTCAATATTATCAATATAATCAAATAATATCAATCAATCATTCTTACACACCACATCAACTTCAATTCACTATTCATCAACTCACATAATTTTAACTAACCATTACTTCACATAATCTCTCTTACTTTACATCAAATTAACTTTAATTATTTTATTTTAAATATTATTTTAATATACCCACTAACAACTAACCATACCACCTTTTTCAAAATTAACCAAACCAAACCAAAAAATCCAAACAAAACCAAAAATTTTATATCCAAGCATACCGTTAATATAGCGTTCATTGGTAAAGTGAACAACTATGTTATAAACATCATTGACTATCCATCACTATGTGTTTAGTAAATTTATAAATAAAAGGGAAAAGAAACTGATATTATTCGACAGCTACCATGCCATATGCCAGGGATAGCAAGGGGGCTGGATTGAGAAGTCAACGTGAGCTGAGCATATAGTTCACTATAAACCCGTGGTCCGACCCTATTCCTACACCCCTTACCTCATTGAGCTATCCTTACATAGTTCAACGTGAGCTGTCACAGCAAGAAAATTCCTTGTAAATTCTTGTCTTCCTCTTCAGAAGATACAGAGTGATGTAGCCTCAACAATATTAGGTTTTGATTGACGACTAAAAACAGTTTTTACTTTATTCTTGATTTTCTTTTTCCAAAACATGAACTTAGCAGACTCATTGGCTGCAAATTATTGCCAACTGAGACATAAGTGCTTCAAATTTCCACAGGCCCTCACTTATTCTATTGCCTTGCCTCGCCACTTTTGTGTGGGTGATCAGGGGTTGGAACCCTAAATGTGTGTGTGTGTGGTGTGCATGAGTGCGCGCACTTACATGAATTTAAAAACAAATCCTGAAACGGAATTACCTCTTCATTAACTCGCTGAGAGACACAGATATATACATCTTCTAAAATGATTATAACAGGATCCCAGCCAAGTTTCTTCCAGGGAATTTTGATGCTTAACTTCCCAACCTGACCTACAAAAGAAAGCAACAAAGATAAGCGGCGCAAGACAATATAAGTTCATTGGCAAAACAACTCAAAAATGAGAACCATAAATATCAACCAGGTTTTAAATGAGAACAAAATTCATTACAATGGCCCAAGTGTTCTATAAGACACTTAAAGATGGCTAAAAGCCATGAGACCACCTCTGTTTATGCAAAATAATTGGATCTATGTGCAAGACCTTTCACCCTTCCATAAAAATTTTCTAAATCATATCTGCATCCTTGATAGATGCAAAACTAGCCAACCGAAAAAGTCTGCCACAGTATAAAATATTGGCCTTAATGGTGTCTGCTCTGCCATTACTAGTAAACCAACCAAACCATTCACCTGTTCCCTTGCATTTTTCGTTGGTCTTCCTTGATGACGATGTCATCTTGTCCCTCCTGAAATGGAACCAGATAACCATTATTCTTTTATTTTCTTCCACTGCCCAGTCACCCCTCATACATCTCAAAGGTGTACATCTCAGATGCCACTACTTCTTTAACAAGATCAGCATGGATCATAAGGTGTTAAAGTTTTTTGTTTCGTTGCGGTCGACATCCTAAAGCTCTATCACTTTTCTGTTCACCTTTAGTCTATTACCCAGAACTAGTAGCATCTCATTTTCTCCTAAAACCTCTGTTGTAATTGCAATCCGTAACTTCAACATCCACATCCACTACCACGCTGTAAACCACATCTATCCAGTATTGAAACCATCATTTACAGAAACATCCTACAGATAAAACTCATAGCAGTCAAACTACAAAAACAGGCCTCAGTAGCAGGTACCTCGATTTCAATTGCAAATGCAACCGTCCCCAAAAGCAATGTTTTAAGCACTATACAAGTGATCAGACTAATCACGTCACCAGTAAGAAGCCCAAAAGGCAGGACTGGTTTAATTGCAGGTATTACTGGACTACTGAAAAAGTATATACATGTATCCACACAAATAAAAGGACTTTTTGTGGGGGAATGGTGAACTACTTTAATTTCAGGTGTTACTGGACTACTTTATATTGCTTATTTTATATTCCGCTCATAACAACATATATCCTCGTAAACATCGAAAAGCACAAAGGTTCTACCTTTTCGGAAAGTAAATGGCAACTGGAGATAGTCAAAGGCTTCAAGAATCAGCTCCACATTTTCGAGTAACACTTCCTCTGCAACCACAAGTCAAAAAAATAAATAAATAAAAATACTTTTGACTGCATATTTAACAACAATTGACTCATTTATAATGGTGACAATATATCCACAATCACTCAAATATTTAAAATGGAGAAAGAAATGGTATGTAACTGTAGAAAACATGTGAAAGAAGGAGAGAAGAAAGAAAAACCATTTACCATTCCAAAGAGTGATTTTAAGCTGCTCCTTTTGGATGTCTTTAATGTATTTACCCAGATATCCCAGTATCAACTGCCTCACCAATCCTTCAAACATCTTTGTTTGATTTTAATTCTATTGCATTCACTGAACAAGTAAATGAGAGAATAATTATCAAGCTATGAAATCGAACCGAATTTAACTTCTATGAAATTTTAGCAAAAATTTCCTGGAGTAAGAACACAAAATTAAAAAGTTACATAATAAAAAATTTGGAATTTACATTTATATTGAGAAAAAAGTGACAAAAAACAATTAACCCCCCAAACTACTATCACATCTTTCAAACTTACCATATAAACTACTTTATTTTTACAAACCACTATATGATCTTGGCAATATTTTCAAGTTTCCCTCCCAGCCAGAAATTCTAGCAGTTTTGTCCATGTCTTCTAGTATTTTTGTTCAAGTCTCCGTGCACGTTTTTCCTGACAGAAAAATTACGGTAGAAGAAAAATGAAAGCAAGAAGAAGGAATGAACCTTTTAAGCGAGAATCACATTTAATTTTCTCCCTATTTTTTTCCCTCTTTCCTGCTTCCCCTCACGTTCCCAACTCGGCTTTAGCTTCTACAATTGACAATTCCCTATTTCAGAGTGCCTTCGGCACACATAAATCCCTTAAATAGAAGAGGAATTAATTGGGAAGTTGATAGAAAAAGAAACAGGTTGCCGGCGGACAAAAGAAAAAAAGATTCATCTTATTGGTCGACAATAATCAGCCGGAGAAAAGAAGTGTGGTCTAGGCACTACTCGAGAATCCCTCGATTCTTCAATAAACCAAAAAAAAGGAAAGAGGAAAAAAAACGCAGTCGCTGCTCCCCATTACTAATATCTCAAATTCCAAATTCAGTTCAAACAGACTTTTGAGGGACAAAGCTCACTCGATAGATTTCGCCGGCTGTCGAGACGGTCTGGCAGGTTGCCCGTACTCGAAGTGCAGGGGTTTTGATGTCGATATCACCTCGTCGAATCACGGGCAGTACTAGATTTGGAGTTATGAACCATGTTTTAAAATGCTTGTATGTGTTTTGCTGTTTGCATTATTTTTTGTTTTGAGTCAATTTTCGTTTTAATATTTNTTTTCCACACTTTTTTTTTGTTTTTTTTTATCCACTTGTTTTTTTATTTTTTTTATATATAAATTGCCTTTACAAGTTGGGTAATTTATTTAAAGAAAAAACTTGAAAAATAAGTGGACAAAAAAAAAGAAAAAAAAGGGGTAGACCGAAATCGAAAGCACGTATTCACAAAATACGGTTTCTTAATTTAATTTTTTAGTGTAAAACGTATTCTTTGAATACGTTTTTTAATTGAATTTGTTTAATTATTTGAAAAACATATTGCCGAAAAATTGTAAATCCAATTTTAATTTTAAACCGTATTTACAAAATACGTTTTATCAAAACCCCAAATTTTGATTTGAAAACCCCAAATTAATTTGAAATCAATTTAGGTTTTGTAAACCGTATTCCATTAATACAGTTTTTAATATTAATTAATTTTTAAGAAAAATTTAAATTAAACTAAAACGTATAAAGGAAATACGTTCTTTAATATAATAAAATTGAAAACGTATTTACAAAATACGGTTTTTAACAAAATATAAGTAAAAAAAATCTTCTCCTCCACCCCACTGCGCGATCAACTGAAACTGCGAGAACCAAGAAAAAAATCACTTCCTTCCATTTTCTCTTCATCTCAAAATAAAAAAAAATAAAAAAAATAAAAACTTTTAACAATCAATCGATTCGGAGAAGAGGTTAGTTGTTATTTTAATGTAATGTAATTACATATTTATTTATTTTTGTTTATGAATTTGTAAGAAATATTTGTTGGTTTTGATGAGTATAGCTTAGAAAAGATTTATTGTTGATTTAATAGTTGTGTTAAATGATTATACATTGTTCTTGGATGATGGACTTCGGTGTATGTTGAGAATTTTTGCGAAAATTGGATGATTTGTATTGTATAGTTGGATTATGAGAATTAGGGTTTTGGAGAGTTATTTTATAAAAGAATTGGCGATTTTTTTTTTTTTTATTGTAGTATTAATTGGAAATATTTATCTTGAATTTAGTAAAAGAATAATTGAATTTTTTGGGAAATTATGTGATGTTGTAATTGGGAAGAATTGAAAGTGTTTATATGTTATTGATGAATTTTATTTTTTTGTTGTGGGAACGATAAAAGAATAATTGAATTTTTTGGGTGTTGGGTTAGAAATTATGTGTTGTTGTAATTGGGAAGAATTATTTTTTGCAACAGGTATAAATGGCGTCTACCGGACCATACTTTGTTAATGTGTATTGGAATTTTCCCAAGGAGTTGTTGTATGATTTTTCAGATTTTAAAAACTCTCCGGATGGTTCATTTAGCATTGGGGAGAAGATATCATTTAAAGAATTAGTAGATATTCTTTATGAAAATTTTGAGTTTCATCGAGATGGTTGGATAATTGAGAAGATTAGTATACTGGCTAACCAATGCGATGGTTCGTGGAATATTGGAAACCTGAATACTGATAGTGCTCTTGACTGGATATATTATTCCCCTCCTTTCTCCTATGTGTATTTGCATTTAGAGTTGAAGCAGGTTACGCAGGCACCTACAGAGGTTACGCAGTTTGAGGATGTTGCCCCTTTTTACGGTGGAGTGGCTGATGTTGAGGGTACGTCCACTTCGCATGTTCGTAATTTTGGTGAAGGGACAAGCTCAACAGTTAGAGAATGCGATAATGAGGAAGAAAGTGATCATGATTTCATTCGCGGTGAAGACGATTTCACAGATGGTACCTCGGAAACGGAATCGGATAGATCAATAAACGAGGAGAGTGAACCAGAATTTATTGAAAAACACCCATTTTCTAGTAGCGGTAAGCACGTGTATCGCGAGATGGGTGAGTGGGACCCGGCGTGTATAGACCAGGATGAGTATGCCTTGCCAACCTGGAATGGGCATGTCGAGACTATCCGTTTGGGTACTGTTTTCCGGTCCAAGGAAGAAGCACAGATGGGTATCATGAGTTGGAACGTTAGCAAGTTGAGGGAGGTTAAGACAACCTATTCGAATAAGAAATCATTCAAGGTGGTGTGCACGTCCAACGAAAATGAACCTTGTCCGTGGAGGGCTCGGGTGACGCACTGCACACGGGTTCATGAACTGTGGGAAGTAACGGAATGGACTGAGAGGCAAAGTTGCATGCAAGAAGTCGAAAAAAATGACCACAGAAATGTAACCGCCACAATAATCTCAAATCTTGTCATGACCAAGATTCAAAAGAAACCCGACTACAGTGTTACCCTGATCCAGGAGGATGTTAAAAAATGTTGGAAAGTCGATGTGAGCTACAAGAAGGCATGGCACAGGAGGAAAAAGGCCATCAATCATTTGTATGGCACTTGGGAATCGAACTTCACAGAACTCCCTTAGTAAGAAAAAATTTATTAAAAATGTACGTGTTATTTGTCACTATGTTTTTGTATTGACGATTATGTTTTGTAGCGTGCAGGTTTTTTGCGGCGTTTCAAAGAGCGAATCCCACTACAGTTGTAGAGTGGGAATGGCAAGGTGGGGAAATGGCGGCCCACTATCAGCACAGAGAATTCAAATTTGTTTTCTGGGCGTTTGGTCCCGCCATTCAGACCTTCCAGAGATGCCCGCCGGTAATTAGCATGGACGGCACACATTTGCGTGGCTCGTACAAGGGGAAGTTGCTCGTGGCCGTTGCACAGACTGCGAATAAGCGGCTATTGCCAATCGCCTTTGCGATTGTGGATGAAGAGAGCCAGGAAAGCTGGTCATTTTTCCTGAAAAATCTCCGGCAACATGTTGTCGGCGACAGACAGATATGCTTTCTTTCGGACAGGGATGCGGGTTTACAGAGTGCCGTGGAATCATTGGAAGCTTGGCAAGAACCCTCTGCATATCACCGGATTTGTCTTCGACACCTTCGGAGCAACGTGGTTACTAGGTTCAGGAATAACAAAATCCGAAATTGGTGTTGGGAGTTGGGTTCACAGGTCTCAGAGAAAAAATTTGAACAGATACGATCGCGGCTTTCGGATTTTAATCCGGATGCATACGATTACTTGTTCAGAATTCCTCTGGACAAGTGGACCCTGTTTGGAGACGGAGGACGTAGATGGGGTACTTTGACAACCAACATGTCCGAGAGTTACAACAACGTCCTGAAATGTGTTAGGTTCTTGCCCTGCCGAGCTTTGGTACACGCCACATTCATGAAAACTCTGGACTTGTTTGAGCAGGAACAAAAGAAGTCCACGAGATGCAGTAATGCCATTGCTAGTGCCCACTATGCCGCTTATTGCGAATTGGAGACTACGGCCGCAACTCATGTGGTGCGATGTTCGAACGCGGAGAGATCCCTGTACAAGGTGACAACCGGTCTACGGGCTGATGGTAGAGGGGGCAAAAGGTATACGGTTTATTTATTTATTGTATAATTTTTATTTTTTTTATTTTGGTTCATTCAAATTTTTAGTTGTTTATACTAATTAAATGTGGAAAAACAGGTATAAGGTTTCGTACAACCGGATGCGTTGTAGTTGTCAGAAGTGGCAGACACACAGGAAACCATGCTCTCATGCTATAGCTGTGTGTCGTCAAATAAAAGGTCAACCAAAGTTCTTGTACGATCCCCACTTTTGGACGGAGAATTGGGTGGCTCAATTTTCTAATTGGAGTTTTGCTCCGATTGGTGATCCAGACACATGGCCGCTAGTCGGATGGAACTTACTACCACATTGAGAGAGGATCATCACGAAGGCTGGACCCGGTCGCGCGCAAACGAAGCGTCATCGCATGCAAATGGATCGTCGGGCACGCCGGCGGACTGATAGAGGACAGTGTAGTAGATGTGGTAATCCACAGCATTTTGTGGATGACTGTCCGTCCTCCCATCCTCGCACTGATAGATCTAGACTCCGTGATGAGTGGGGAAACTAGATTTATTAGTGTTTATTTTTTTTATGTTGGACTATTTTTTTTTTTTATTGTTTACTTTGATTTATTGGACTATGTTTGGATGATATATTTTTGTTTTGTTGGACTGTATATGAGTTGATTTTTTTGAGTTTGTGTATTTTGGTGTAGTTGGTTGTTCTGAATATTTGTAACAGGTTTTAAATGGTGAAAAAATAGAAAGAGAGATTTTTTTTATTTTTCATATAACAGTTAAAAACGTATTTAGCAAATACGTTTTTCAAAAAAAAAAAAAAAAACGTATTCATTTAAATACGTTTTTTTAAAAAATAAACAATTTAAAAACGTATTCATGTAATATAATGTATACTATATAACATATAGTATATAATATATAGTATATAACATATAACATATAGTATATAGTATATAGTATATATTATATAACATATAATATATAGTATATAGTATATAATATATAACATATAGTATATAATATATAGTATATAACATATAGTATATAATATATAGTATCTAGTATATAGTATATAATATATAGAAGTAGTATATAGTATGTTGATATCCGGCTTGATTGCTAAATTGAAGAGGAAGATTAATCACATTAATGACAAAATAATCTCTCTAGAAGATCTTATTCCAAGTCGGTATTTAATTACCGACTCCTACATGGTTACAATGGTCACCGACTCCTGAAGACTTACCGACTTCCGAAAGGTCTTCAAAAGAACCGAAACCGACATCTGAAGCCAACGCAAGTAAACCGACTTCAGTTCAACCGACTATTACAAAGTCTGAATATTCCAACAGAAAGTAATCATTAGAAGCATCTGATTGGACCAACAAAACAAAAAGGCAATCATTGATGTTTCCCGCCGCTTCAAGTGAAGCAGCTCAACATTAAATGCATCTTTATCCATTTCAAGGAAGAAGACAAAAGCCACCGTACTATAAATAGAAGAATTTATGATAGTACGAGGATCCTTTCGAACACATTGTACATGGACTTCTAATGATCTCGGTTTTCAACACATAACCGACTCATGTACTCTTGTGAATATAACGAATAAAATCAAATTGAACGTTTATCTTTATTTTCTTAACATCTACTGTGTT